GAGTAGGAGAAGCGGTTAGGGTTTTTCTGCCAAAATTTTTTGATATGATCAAATAAACTTCATAATCATAAAATATGAAAAAATTATATATTTGAGTTATGATCCACTTACATAATATAAGAAAAATTTAATATTACATTGATTTAAGATCGTTGGATGGCTGGAAATATACAACTTAAATTAATTCATTGTTTTTCCAATGAATATCTTCTCATTTTCTATTATTAATCTTAGTTGTCTATTTTCACTCATCTAACGACCTTAAATTAGTTGAATGAAGTATATCTAAATTTTAAATTTTAAAATCTAAACCCTAAGATTAATCTCATATTAATGTAGGCAAATGTTGTTAAAACATTTATTCTGATTTACGAATGGAGTAAATTGGGTTGAAAGAGTCGTCGTTACGTTACAATACTAGATCCAGATTAATCGATTAACAAATCGAATACTATCAGTTATAAAAAAACATTTATTCTGATAAAATGAATAAGTAATAAATATGACGCAGGAAGAAGTGGAGATAGAGGCAAAGGTAAACGGCACCAGAGGAAAGCTTACATCAGTGGTGGTAGAGATTTGAAACAAATCCAACAATGGACGGTTGATTGCAGTTGGTACTCTATGGACGGCTGCTAATGACCATACATCACCTCGACTTCAACCTAAGATTTGAGAATTAAATATAGATTGCATTTATTCTTTGGAGTAATTGCAAATTACCTTCAATATTATACTTTGGGTTAAATTAATTCTTATTCCTTCTTTAAAAGTCAAAATAATCAATTTTTTAAATCGAGTTTTTATTTACCCTTATAATAGTTTAGATTGCATTTTCCAAGTAATCTCTATGTTTTGATATGTAAAAATTTCTTTTTTTGATACTCCTAGTCATTGGCATGTATAATATGGTCTATTAGAATGGTTTATGAAAAATCCATGATTTTGTAAGTCTAAAGATAAAGGTAACTTTAAATGAGTTGCTGAAAGTGTGTATGTTAGCATTGTGTGAAATGGTTAGTTTAGGTACATGCTAGTGTGTGTACAAAGTATGATTGTGTAATGTGTTGTGAAATCTTGATTTTATGAGTTATAAATATGTAATATTACATGGATGGACTGATGGATACAGTCGTATCTATAAAAATTTTAAATTTTCTTATATTTTAAGTATTTTCTTTGTATTTCTTATTGATTATCTTTTTCCGCACTCATTGAAATTTTATAATTTTACACTTCTTAAATTTTTAATATAATTTCTTACGTTCATACACTTAATAGAAATTATTACGTCTGTCCCCGTAACATTAAATGGTGCTGAGTGAATCATGTTACTAGATGATAAGTCACTTAGTTTAAAATGCTTGTTGGGAAATTATGCATGTTAATTTGTTGTAATATTGTCATTTAGGTTGCTTTAATTTTTGGGTAAGCTACACGTTTAGTACCTCAATTATTACTTTTGTTATGTTTTGATCATCTAACTGTTTTTTTTTCAAAATCATAGTTAGCATTACGTTTTGGTTTCATTTTGGTCATCCATCGTTAAAAAATTAATAGAATCGCTGGCGTGGTAGGTTTTTTTTGTTTTTGTTTTTTTCAATGATGATTTTATTATCTTATGGTGACACGTCAACATCACCATTAATTTTTTAATGTTGGATTATCAAAATGAAATCAAAACTAAACATTATGTATGATTTAAAAAAATAGTTGAATGAAAAAATGATAGTTGGCGTACGACACGTGTAGTTTGTCCTTAATTTTTAGGTTTCAAAATTTAGAAGGCTTTAACTTTTAGGTTTCAAAATTAGAAAGTAGTTTTGATACTTCTAATTTAGAGTTTTGAAACTCTGGGACAAAGTTTCGATAATTAATGTAAGACTTTCAGTACATGAATTGCTGTAGCCATAAATGAAGAACAATAGGTTAATGACTACTTTTCCTGAACAATTATTGGCATTTGTAAAACGCATAATGCTAAAAACAAGAATTCAACCTTGATCGAAATGATCATTTTAAGTTTTATTTTTTAGAATATTTTAAATTTTAATGTTTAATTTTAAGATGAAAAAATTTATAATGTTTGACTAAATAATAATTTTAACTTTTATTTTTATAGCATTTAAAATAATTTTTTGGGCATAATTGTCAAGAAAAAGAGGCAAAAAGTAAAGAATTTGTCTTTTTCCTACAAGTACTAATCAATGGCGGAAAAAAAAAGAAATTATTTATGAAATGAAATAAAATAAACAATAAAAATTTAAAAAACAAAATTAGAGGAGAGAGAGAGTACGTGAATACAGCTGTTATCAACGATAGGGTTTGGTAGACTTGCTAAGCAAAGAAGGTATCGTTTTTGGACACATGCCGGACTGCGTCTTCATCTAAAATATTTGTTAAAGGTAAATTATATTAGATATCATCGAATTTTATGCGTTCTATCATTTATATCAATGTTTCAATTTTTTTATTGTAGCACTAAACTTTAATTTGTAGATGAGTATACTATAAACATCATATATTGATGTGCATCGTATAAAATAAAATTTAAAAATATCATTAAATTACGATAAAATAATTTTTAAAACCATTTAACTTATAAAACTTATAAAATAAACATTAAACTTTAAATTTTGTAACTTACAAGTCATATAAATATCAAATTGGATCAATATCAAATCAGTTTGATAATAAGTTGGATTATTTACAAGTTGATTTAATTACATGTCAGGCTGATAATAAGTCAGATAATATCAGTTGTTTATCAAGTTAATCTCGAGTCCATATTCATGATAATATCAGTTGTTTATCAAGTTAATCTCGAGTCCATATTCATATTAGATCGAATGTAAGTCGGATTCGATTATCACATTATCAGGTTTAACTTGATTCAGATCATTCTCGGCTCGGGAGTAGGTCGTATTCAAATCCAAAATTACCATGTCCAACCTTAGGTTAATGCCAACACCAGTTCAGACTCAAATCAATTTCGAATAATCACTACTTCAGATCACATACAATTCTAACGCAAGTCAATTTTAGTCAATTTTGCAGGTGTAGTTAGTTTTTTACATCTCTACTCATTAATGTCTAAAGAGGACTAGTAGAAAATGGGCATGTTTGATTCATATTGCATGTAGTTTTCATGCTACATTCCTTGATTGATCTATGTCATTTGATTTTATTTGTTTGTGACCATTAATAAGTCTAGCAATGATTGTTATGATGAAGACTGCTTTGATCCTATATGAATATAATTGATCAATGAGATTGTTATGTAATACTTATTATATAATAGTAAATTTTGAGCTCATAAACAATGGCAGATCTAAAAATTTAACAATATGGGTCCAAAATTTTAATATTATTTTCTTTTAAATAATGGGTATGTAATTTATTTATTTATTATTTTTTCTTAACACATTAAACTAAATTTATCCATTTTGTAAAATAATGAGATACACTTGGCCCATAGGGAGTTTAGTGCATCCCCTGTTCATAAGATTGTATATTTGTCTAGAAACATATGTTGTCTAAGTGAGAGATTGTTGGATTAAAATCCATAATCGTAGACACATATAACGTACAATGCTATCATAAAGTATGCCACAAAATTAAGTTATAAATTATGTTACATGTGTCATATGTATTAACGTATCATGGAATTAAAGTGCAGATGCCATAAGTTGTGTATAATTTTATGAGAGGCAAAATTATAAATTCTTAATAGATTGACCAAATATTCATTATATATAAGGTTTAATATAAAAAGGTGCCCAAGCTATACATTTTTCTCATATTGGTGCCCAAACTATTTTTAGGTCACTCTAGGTGTTTAACGTTACAAACATTACCGCTTTAGGTATCCCAACTATAACGACTGTTAAAAAACTTCATTAAGTGATACGTGTCATGTTCTGATAATTTTAAAAATTTTATTTGAAATAAAAAACTTAAAATTATAACTTAAAAACCTTTTTTTTTTCAAATCTTAAAAAAATACAAAACTTTGAAAACTCTAGATCCAATCTCTATATCCATGTCAGTCGTCGCTGCCGTTGCCAACAACCGAACTTACCCTCGATCACGCCTCAAGCCAACGACCAGTCACTTGACGAACTCCAATCGCGGTTTAAATCCACAAACATGACAGAAAGAATCGCGATAATTCGTGACCCCACGAGACCTGATGACGTGAGAGGCAGTATGGGTGTCAACGACTGAAAATGGAGAAGATAATAGTGGCGTCATCGACGATAGCTGTGGCCGCAAAGGGAGATGGTAGGGTTAGAGTTAGGGTTCTTAAGGTTGATTTTAGTGATTTGAGACTTTTTATAATTTAAAATAAAATTGAGTTTTTTTTAATATTATAATATTTTTAAGTTTTGTTTTTAAAATAAAATTTTCAAAATCACCAAAAACATGACATGTGTCACTTTACGAAGAAATTTAATAGCTGTTACGATCGAGGAACCTAAAATGATAACGTTTGTAACATTAAACACCTAAATTGATTCAACAAAAGTTTAGGCACCAATTTGAGAAAACCAATATAGTTTGAGCATTGTTTTAGTATATTAAGCCTATATATAAAAAGGTAGTGGTCTAAGAAATATGTTAACATGTATTATTCTTATCCGGTCAGAGAGTTATTACGTCAAGAGAAAACATATATTCGTAAAAGATTACAACAACAAAAAATAGTAAAGTATTTCAACCTAACAATTAATTATGACACACTTCCGCATCTAGTTTTTGATGATTTAGTATGATAGATCTTGGGTTCTTGATTTTATATCAATTAGATTTTGGTTCTAATACAATCATCTTCACTGGTATTATAATACCAAAAAATCAGTGATTGTGTTAGGAATTCGTAAGCCGAAAAATTAAGAAAGCGAGGTCAAAATTATTCCAAAACAGTAGCAACAAGGAAACACATATCCTGGACGGATTAAGATACTGTCTATTATTGTTCATTAATTGTAAAACTTTACCTCCTCAGGATTTAAGTCCAACTGTCTATGTCTAGAGGGAAGAATGCAATGAGCACCATTCTTTTGCTGAACAAAAATGATTGCGGCAAGCACAAGGAGCCCCCAGAACATAGTAACATCCCAAGCAGCAGAGACAAAACAATGATCATCATTCACAGAAACCTGTAATATGTTGTAATAAACATTGCTGAGATTGCAGTGAAGATCATATGCATGTGGTAGCAATCGAATGAAAGTGATCCCGATAAAAAACGAACAGCTGAGAGCCTTCCGTCTCGAGTTAGAGAACATGTTGACAAGTATCTGAGGCAAAAGAAAACTGTCCAAGATCGAACCTGCATATGATTTCAAGTAATTGCAGATGGAATGTTGCCTGTACTCGACAGACGACTGCAGTCTGCGGTTCTCCCAGGCAACAAGCAGCATGAATTTGGCCACGGCAGCATATAGAAATGCAATCACGAGTAGGGTCTTTTCTTCCGCAAACCACAACGTCTTTCGGTCGGTGTCATGCGATCTAGCCGAGACTGTTAATTGGAGAAGTCGATACAGTAGTAAGAAAGCGACAACCGTAACTGTTTTCACGATCACTTCATTTAAGTCGATCAATCCACCATTGTGGGGCAAAACTTTGTTTCGGTCTAGTACAAGAGGAACCATGTGGCCCAAGTTAAGAATCACTAGCATAACAAGTGAAATGGAGGGCAGTACTTTGGGGTTCTTCTTCACATGATAAAGCTGCAATCCTACAAAGATGCACATTAGTGTATTAGTTAATAGAACCTTTGTAGTCTCAACATCCATTGTCCAAATCGAACTTTTTCGTCGATCAGTCTTGTAGGTCGCTGAAGACACATCTAGACGACGAAAGTAAAGAACATCAGAACTTTTCCGTGTGCTTTCGATGCTTCCCGCGATATATCCTTCATTTTGATTCGGTTCCAATGGAGCAAACCGAAAGTTCAAAAGAACTCCACAGTCCATAAAAGCATTGTCCAACACTTGATTTTCGGATCCCAACTTTCTGCAACCAACCATACACAACTTTCCAGTTTCAGAATCATAAACCCCTTCAGCTGTAATCTCCAGTTTCTGTTCAATGTATGCAAAATGAACTCCATTGTCATCTTCTCTAGGAGTTTGCAACGTGATGCTCACTTCATAGCTAACATTGATGAGCCTTGAAGGCACTATTCTTTCACTAGGAAGATCCATTGGATACAGAAGGGGCTTGTATAATCGATCATCGATAGCGAGAGGATTCGCCGAACCCCATCCATGTTTTTTCTCTGAGCTCATAACCAACATGTCAAATTTCATATCTGTGGAATGTCCACTTGGATATCTTTGTCCCTTGTTTATCACCGGCTGCATATTTCTCAGGCATAGATTCTTTACTCTGTTAAATTCAGTGTATTCATACTTCAAACCAGGAACTCCCTGCACACGATTACCAGTACTTCGGAATGATATCCTATCGAAGTAACTGGAATCGTTAGCAGTTTTCGTGGTCCAAATTCGCCCCCTCGTGCTGCTAGTCTCTCGAATAGACAAGACTGCAGGGAACATGAAGCTCAGCCTTGTTGTGCAATCACCAACATGAGCATTAGACCATGATTCTCCGATGTCTAAAATCCGACAAACGAAAATGAACAACTGGTTTTTCTCATTATCCCATGTTCCTTCTCCAATCAATGTTGTGTATGGATTGAAAGAAGGGTATGTTCCAACATGGCTAGTACTATTTCTAAATTCGACCAAAACGCGAATTCTCCTTTCGACCTCTGAACACTGAATGCTCAAAAGGGACAGAAAACGTGGCGAATAGCCATTCAACCAAAAAACTGGAAGACAATTTTGCTTTCCAGAAGTGCAGTCACTTGTGTACTGCAACTCAAATTCATTTACATTTCCCAACATCATTGAGCAAAAACTTCTACTTGGAAGTTCATTGGATGGCAGATTCATCAAGGCATCACTTTCAGCAGAGAACTCATCTTCAAACTCTCCGGAATTGAAAGTGTACTTGTAATTCAACGACGGAAACATGATCATGGAAATGGATTCAAAGTAGCTCACTCCATCACTGAGACTGTCTAAAGTTCCAGTAATCAAAGTAGTGATGTTACTTGAATTCCTGAGATTTCTAAGCTTAAAAACTACTGAAGGAGTTAGCAAAGTACCTTGTTTACAGTAACCATAACCTGTTCCCACCATACAAAGATTCCCAGAGAATTCTGACCAGAATCCATGGAGGTTCAAATGAAATGGACTTGGTAGAACTTGAGGATCATATGATCCATAAAATGTAAGGATTCCCTTAATCTTCCACACCCCGTCTGCAACAGTTCTAGACGCATATCCGGTTTCGAACCAGAACCGATTCGAGATTCCGGTGATCTTCGGGTCGAGAATTCCATTTCCACCAATGTAATAACCAGTGTCATATCCATCAAATGCTCCAAAACTATCATTGTAAGTTTCAGAGTTGGGGACAGATTCAGGTACAACAGAAGAGCAGTAATCAGAATAAGAGACTTCACTCTCATTCTCAGCAGAATTTGCTGAAAAACTAATGAACAGAAACAAGAGTGTGAGTTTACAACTGTGTACCATGATTGAAACCTTCATAGACATTGTAGCATCGAAGAAGAATATACAATTGCAAGGCTTTAATTTGTTTTATTCAACATTTTACCGGCACAACTCAAGTATGTTAGCATGGAGCAGTCCGCCCGATCTTGCATTGGAAAAACCAATATTTTATTCGCATCATAGCGGCTGTTATACGTAACTTAACTGAAAACACATCGCAACCGTAATTTAAATCCCTCTACGTAACTGTCTGAGAATCATGCATGATGAACTCATGTGTTGAAGAAGTGTAAAACACAAACACTGATTACGGTTTCATCAGAAACCTGCAAAAGATGAGCCAACAACGTAAGATTTGAAAGAATTTATCCAGAACCAGAAACATCATATGAAATGGTAATAATATAATGTGTTTTGCAGATATAAAAAATTTAGATTGCATTCTAAAGGGAAAATGAAAGCCTGGAAGGATATTAAATTTGGTTATTCTCGTGGTCTTATTTTCTTTAATTTATATATTTTTGTCTGTTAGAATACAGAACTTTGGTTTTCTCAGCCAGATTGAAGGATCAAGCATTTTTTTACTTCGGAAAGCCAAGAGAGAGATACAATTTATGTGGATTCAAGCACTACGAATTCGGATATTTAGTAACTAACATTTCGGATAAAAAATACTTGAATATACTAGTTAGGAATGGACATGGGTTAGACTCAATCCGATCTGAAAATTTTATATTCTTTACCCGAAATTTGACCCTACCTGAGTTTATGATAATTTCATTTGATACGAAACTTGATCGGACTTTTGAGATAAAATTCGACTCTGACCTGACCCAACTCGAAATAATATAAAAATATTAATTTTATTCAATAAAATAGAGACTTAATTGAAAAAATAATATAAAGAGATGTATTGTTGCAATTATCTCTAAATATATAAGGTATAATTATATTTTTCGGCTCAGGTTGGGTCGGATATTTTTCACCATAAACCCAAATCCGACACGACCCGAACTTATTCTCTAAAAAACAAGAACTGACCTATCCTGAACCCAAATTGTTTTAAGAAAACCCAATCTGATTGGGTCGAGGCAGGTTGAAACTTGTTGAGTTTTGGTCTCGTGCCCATCCCTAATCCTTGTATCATTTTTATTAGAATAGTGTTGAATTATTTTAATCATTTTTATTCATGTGAATTGGGACGGTAGTTAGATTTTATGGTAAGGTGTGAATTTAGAAAATTATATTAAAAATTTAGAAAGTGTAGAATTAGAATTCATTGAGTGATCTCAGTAGTAAAAGAGAATATTGTTCTCCTTAAAGGATATGAGTTCGAGCAGTTACATCTATATGGTGTGTATGCATTTTCAATAGGCTAATAAAAATTCTGAATATATATTACCTTGTAATCATCATAGACTATTTTAAAAAAAGTACGAAATTATAAAAATTTAGAAACTATGAAATTAAATCATCAATAAAAAATATTTAAAAGATACTTTAGTGTATGAAAATTTAAATTTTTTAAAGAATGCATCTGCATTCGATAATCCCTCGATCCATCCTTGCATGCAAATAATATATATATATATATATATATATATATATATATATATATATTTTGCCATAATATTTTGAAAAATAATACACACGCACAAAGAAAAATCATTAGGGTTTTAGATTAACCTCAATTTTCGTTTGATTCAATCGCTGTCTCTTATGGAAATTCTCATGATTGCCCGTCAATTCCGTTATACCACCAACCAATGGTCTACAATATTAAGAAACCTGCACTCGTCTAAACATGTTCACCATCTGCTCGATGAAAGTCCTTGCTCAAACCCAACCCCCCTTTACCCTGTTATTCTCCCCTTTGACGCCTTTAAAAGGTTCAAACTACTTCTTAAATCAGGCCTACTTAATGCTATCGATGAAGTTACACTGGGTCTGGCTCTCAAGGGATCTTGCGGTAATTCGAAACAGGGGACCCAAGTTCACAAATTGTTATCATCTCCGGAATCATGTCCTTCGTTACTGTTCCAAATTCATTGATGAATATGTACTCTAAATCTGGGCAGTTTGCCCTTTGACGCCTTTAAAAGGTTCAAACTACTTCTTAAATCAGGCCTACTTAATGCTATCGATGAAGTTACACTGGGTCTGGCTCTCAAGGGATCTTGCGGTAATTCGAAACAGGGGACCCAAGTTCACAAATTTGTTATCATCTCCGGAATCATGTCCTTCGTTACTGTTCCAAATTCATTGATGAATATGTACTCTAAATCTGGGCAGTTTGAGAAGGCTTTGTGCATCTTTGAGGGCTTACATGATCCCGATATAGTTTCGTGGAATACTCTGCTTTCAGGGTTTCAGAAAAGTGAAGAAGCGTTGAGTTTGGTTTCGAGGATGAATCTGAATGGGGTTGCTTTCGATGCTGTAACTTGTACCACAGCACTTTCTTTCTGTTTGGACCTTGAAGGGTTTCTTTTAGGATTGGAGTTACATACTCTGGTAATCAAATCTGGATTAGATAGCGAGGTTTTTGTGGGGAATGCTCTTATAACGATGTATGCAAGGTGGAAACGTTTAGAGCAAGCTCGAATGGTATTTGATGAGATGCCGAATAAAGATTTGGTTTCGTGGAATGCGATCCTTTCGGGGTACAGCCAGGAGGATGGTTATGGGTTAGAAGCGATGTGGACGTTTATTGAAATGGTGAAACAAAGAATAAAGCTTGATAATGTGTCATATACTGGTGCAGTTTCAGCCTGCAGTCATCAGAGGAACTTAGAGGTTGGAAGACAGATTCATGGTCTGTGTACAAAAAGTGGGTATGGTAAACATGTTTCCGTTTGTAATGTTTTGATGTCAATGTATGCGAAGTGTGAGGTTGTTGAAGATGCAAAATTGGTATTCAGAACAATGAATGAGCCTAATGTGATCTCATGGACTACAATGATCTCTATTGATGAAAAGGATGCTTTGCACCACTTTAATAAAATGAGATTGGATTATGTTCATCCTAATGACGTTACATTTTTTGGATTGATCCATGCCATAACCAATGGGAAATTAGTTGAAGAAGGCCAAATGGTTCATGCGTGTTGTGTGAAAGGTAGCTTTTTGTCTGAATCAAATGTTTGCAACAGCCTTATCACCATGTATGCTAGGTTTGAGTTGATACAAGACTCTGTTAAGGTTTTTGAGGAACTTGAATCTAGAGAAATTGTTTCATGGAATGCCTTAATCTCTGGATATGCTCAAAATGGAATGTTCCTAGAAGCTATGAGGACATTTTTTTTTAGCAGCTGGGGAATGTAAACCAAATCAATACACATTTGGTAGTGTCTTGAATACAATCGGTTCTTGTGAACATCTATCTCTAAAACATGGTCAGTGGTGCCACTTGCATTTAATAAAGGTTGGGTTGAATACTGATCCGATAGTGTCCAATGCCCTTCTCGACATGTATGCAAAGTGTGGGAGCATTTCTGAGGCACAGAAAGTTTTTAATGAGACTCTTCAAAGAGCCAATTTGCTTGGACATCATTAATATCTGCTAATGCAAGGCATGGAAATTATGGTTCAGTGATGGCTTCATTCGAAGAGATGAAAAGGGAAGGAGTGAAACCTGACTCAATCACCTTTCTTTCCATACTAACAGCTTGTGGCAGAAACGGAATGGTTGATATTGGTAAACAAATCTTTGACTCAATGTCGACAGAATATCAGATCGAACCATCCTCAGAGCATTATTCTTGTATGGTGGATATGTTGGGACGTGCAGGTAGATTGGAGGAGGCAGAGCAGCTAATGGGTTGCACTCCGGGATGGCCAGGATTGTCTATGCTGCAAAGCTTGCTCGGGGCTTGCACTATACATGGAAATGTAGAGATGGATGAGAGGGTAGCTGAGACTTTGATGGAAATGGAGCCCAATGAGTCAGGTCCATATGTATTGATGTCGAACTTGTATGCTGAGAAGGGGAAGTGGGAGAAGGTAGCGAAACTGAGGAAAATTATGAGACAGAGGGGAGTGAGGAAGGAAGTGGGATTTAGTTGGGTGGATGTTGGTGACATCAACAGTTCGATGTCTTTGCACGGTTTCTCATCAGGAGATAGATCTCACCCACAGTCCGATGAGATATGCAAAATGGCAGTATACCTGGGATTACGTATGAAACTTTTGAGATAGAAAAACAGACTAAGAATACATGGCAATGATAGTGACAGTATGACATGAGTCATTGGGGAATTCCTTTTGTACTTGTATGTTTTTATAAAGGAACAAGAGGTGGTAATTTTTACAATTTTTTAAATATTTTTGAGGAATCCTTGAGAAAATTTATATATATATCATAATATGGATTTTTTAAAAAAACCAAGAATCTTGAACTTTTTAAAAGGTTCTGATTTTGATGACTGCTACTGGTGGGAGTCATAGAGCATCCACTGTACTTATTAAGGCTGCTTTTATGGTGGAAATTTGTGGCGATTATCAGGTCAGTTTCCTAATGTTTGGTGACAAAGAAAATGTGTCCATTTGGCGAAATAGAAATTAAAAGGGTTCATTTCTTAAGCCTCTGGATTATCTTCATGGGGATGTTAAGGTTGGTGCTTCACTGGAGTTGTCATTATGTTCTCCAAATGAATTCATCATTGTTTGATTTAAGTTCTATTTAATTGGCAACATACTGATTGATAACGATTGTATTGTAAAGCTTGCAGACTTTTGTGTTTCAGTTCACATGTTTGATGCAGGAGATTGACAACGTTTTGGAAGTACCTTTGTTGGGACTCCTTTCTGGTGAGCGATCTGTCCAATGATTATGACCCCAAGTGAGCGTTTGGTCTGTATTTAAGAGTTAAGGTCTTAGTTTCACTTAAACTCATATTGCCACCATACAAAGTTGTGTACGCATCAGGGATTTGAATTGCGGTTAAGGTCGTGTTTTCGGTTACATTGCATTTATCGCGATTGTATATATAACGGATGTTATTGTGGTCATTGCGGGTATCGCAGTCATGCAATAACGGTTTCAGACGACACCGTTACTGCTATATAAAAGCCTCTATTCCGATAACGGACAGCTATTTAAATCCTAGTACTAGGCATGACATATCTTAGTGTACACAAGTATTTTCTGCTTCAGTCTTGCAAGGGAATCATGGGTTTGACCCTAACAGGTCTCATGATTTTGGTCCGAAGGACATTTTTGTTCTAAAACACCAGATAACAATCTGAATTTTGTTTCAACTGTACCAATGTGGTCCAAATGGCTATTATACTTGGTGTTATTTGGTTAAACAATTTTAAGTACATAGCATAGCTTTATAAGTGAGGTGTTTTAAAATTTATACAGAAAATTAACTGCAGAAAAAAGACACTGTTGACAGCAATTACCAAGGACTAATGAAACCGACACTTGAATCTTTCATTTGGTTGCCCTACCTTCTCTTAAGGTTTCATCTTCACTAGTCTTGGTCGACTCGAGTTGGTACACCTAATTTTATTAGATGAGATTCCTAACAGGAATTTTTTTTGCATACATAAAAACTTGAACTCGAGACCTGCTTATACGATATTTTGTTGCTTACCCCTTGAACTAACCTTCATTGGTGTTGGAGGATAAATTTCGAAAATTATATTCCACTTGGATCAACCCCATTGGTGTTGGAAGATAAATTTTGAAAATTATATAATTAATTTTATATTCTTAAGATATTATAATTAATTGGCTTAATACACAAAATATTTTTTCCGAATAGGTGCCTACAATATTTTTTGGTTCATACAGATGCCTAACGTTACAAATATTACCATTTTAGGTGCACGGGTTGTCAACGATGTTAATTCCATCCGTTAAGTGACACGTGTCAAAATCTGATAATTTTAATTTTTTTATATAAAATTAAAAAAATTATATATATATTTAAAAAAAACATACATTTCGAAATGTTAGGATTTGCGGAAGTTTGAATTGACAACCAGAATGATTTGTAAAGAGGGGTTAGAACGGTTTTTGTGTTTATGGAGTAAGGAGATTGAAAGATAGAGAATTGCACAGTGATTTATAGTGGTTCAACTTCTCAACCAAGTCTACATCCACTACCTTAGCTCCTCACCAAGGATTTTCCAACAAATTCACTAATTTGTTCTTTCTTTTTAGGACAAAGAGATAACCTTTAAAACTCTCTAGTTTTTCACGGGATATGTCCCTAGCTTTTATACGGGCTTAACTAGAACCTTTCCCCTTTATAAAAGGATAAAAGAAGTAAACAAATAAACCTCTCTAAGGTAGGTGTTTACAAGAACTAAGCTCACAAGAACAATAGTTACAAGAGAGAATGAAAATAAGAATGAAAAACTTCTTCTCTTGTGTTTGAATGCTTAGATAATTGTTTTCTCCTTTCTTCAAGTGTCCTTAGCTTGTATTTATAGCTTGAAACGTGTTTGAAGTCGTATCTAGCCGTTGGGATGTTTTGGAGCTGTTTGAGGATTATTTTTCTGCAAAACAAGGATACCCAGAACAGGGGGTATCAGTACCCCTTCAAGGGGTATCAATACTACCTTTGCTAAATTCAAATTAAACTAGTTGTTACTAGCCGTTGGAGCCAGGGGGTATTGATACCCATGCATGAGTATCGGTACCCTTTTTGCATTCGATGTTTGAGCAGTCATAGGGGTATTGATACCCATTCATAGGGGTATCGGTACCCATTTGCATTTTTGCTCAAATTCGAATTTAATGGACTTTGAATTATTTTTGAAACCTTTTGAAAACTTTGAATAAATTCAATTCAAGTCCAAAAACATTTTGCCTTAAATTTGTTATATCGAAACATAGTTTTACAATCTCCCCTTTTTGATATAACAAAACATTTGAAAAATTGTTTTTGACAAAACTCACCCTTAATAAAATGTTTAATGAAAAAGATACCAATTGTTAAAAAGATATCAATTGTTACCAATTATTGGAAAATATATGAAAATGTTAAGCTCCCCATTTTTCATTAAGAAATTATTTTTTTCATAAAAATGTTAAGCTCCCCATTTTTTAGTAAAAAATTAAAATTTTCAAACCATACTTCTCACCCTTTTTGTTATATAAAAAATAATTCAATCTTTAAAGTTTAAAATAACTTTAGAGAGTAAGTGGTAAATTTGACATTTAAAAATCATTTGAAAAATCAAAGCTCCCCCTCAATAAATGCATTTCAAAACAAAATTAAGCTTTTAACATCTTGACACTTAAAATTGAATTTCAACAAAGAAGAGCAAATATGTTATTAGCACATGAAATTCAATATATCTAAGGCTAAAATACTTTATGCAATACCAATAGTTGAAATTAAGTACATATGCATAAAGTTTTCTAAAAATGTTATGTATTTGAAAAAAAATTGATATCAATTGCTAGAGACATATCATTTTCATTTAAACCACATGCATAAACATTTAAATTTAGGTCAAAAATTTAAAATTTTGATATCAATTGTTAGAGAGATATCACTTGCATTTAAAATCAAAGTATTTGAAAAATTGATATCAATTGTTAGAGAGATATCATTTGCATTAAAACCAATTTTGACCAAAATTTTATTATGATGAACTAAAATTTCTGAAAAATCATTAAAACTTCAAAATTGTTCATCATAAAACTTTTTAACATACATGAGATTAAAATAATAATGCATAATCATTTAAAACAAAAACTCATCCATGACTAAAATCAAATGAGCAACCAAATAATCAAAATTAAAATCATTAAGCTTAGAGGTTACCCATTCCTTTTTCATGTGTGGCTAGAGCATCTTGAATATCATCACTCTTATCAACATTGCTCCCACACACCTACAAGAGAAATTTAAGTAGATTTTGGTATCCAAATTGCTTTGGATCCTTGAACGTTAGTTTCAATGCCCCTTGTTCCTTTCAGAACCCATACTTGTCTAATTTTAAAAGATTTTATTTTCTTTATAGGACAAACATGTTCCAAATGACTATGAAAATGACAATGTAAGCATCTTGTCATTTCTAAACATAATAAGTTGTTTTTAGAAATTAATTTTTTTTTCTTTTGTTAAGCTTTCAAGCTTAACTTCTAACTCAAAATTTTCCTTTCTAAATCATTTATTTTGATTCTTGAAAGCTCTAAATCATTTTTCAAAATTTCATTTTGATTTTTAAAATCAACTCTTTCTTTCAAAATCAATTTATTTTCAATTTTGAGTTTTGAAATTAATTTATTATATTTGGAATTCATGGTCTCAAATCCCAAATACAACCTATTATAAGCATCTTGTAACTCATCAAAAGTAAATGAATTAAATTAATTTGAGTTAGAAGATACCTCGAATTCTTCTTGAGTGGCCATTAGGCTAGGTTGACTACTTTATCATCATTGGAGTCATCTTCATCGCTCCAAGCTGCCACATATGCCTTCTTCTTGGATGATCCATTCTTTCTTAGAAGGGGACAATCATACTTGACATGCCCCGTTCTTTGACAATTAAAGCATACGTGGGTACTCTTCTTATTGGTTGATTCATGCTTTACTTCCTTAGAAGTCATGAATCTCTTTAACTCTTTTAAGAGCTTGACCATCTCATCTTCTTGTTCATCATCATCTTCATCCACCTCATCACTTGAATCTTGATAGCTTTCATTGGTGGATTTGAAGGAAATGCCTACCTCATTCTTCTTCTTGTTTTTCCTCCTCCTTCAACATCATCTCATGAGTGAAAAGAAAACCAATCAATTCATCGAGAGTGAGAGACTTTAGGTCCTAGCTTCGATAATAGCCGTCTTCTTCGATTGCGACGAACTTGGAAGAGAGTAGATCATCTTCCTTACAAGCTTCTCATTAGGGATTACTTCTCCAAATCCCTTGAGACCGTTGACAATCACGGAAAATCTGTCCGTCATAGCTTTGATGTCTTCATCGGGTTTCATCTTGAAATTCTTGTAGCTATGGTTGAGAAGACTTTTCTTTATTTTCCTCACTTTTTCGGTTCCTTCATGAATAACTTGGAGCTTATCCCAAATCTCTTTGGTAGTAGAACAAGAGGATATTCTTCCATATTCGTTTGGGCCTAAAGCACAAAAGAGAATATGTATAGCCTTAGAATTAAGCTGGAACTTTTTCTTCTCTTCATTACTCCAATCGTCGTATTCACCGGGTGGAGTGGAGTAACCCCTCATGATTGAGTTCCAAGACCCTAGATCGTAGGCTCGAATAAAGAACATCATCTTATTCTTCCAATGAGCATAATTTGCTCCATTGAAGAAGGGTGGCTTGTTGACCAGTTGTGAATCTTAATCCTTACAAAATGTGAAAATTGTGTTTTATACTTAATATATTTTTTGAAACAATTTTCACAAAGTATTTTGAACCAAAATCAAGCCTTAAATCAATTTTTCAAAGGCATGCACCGATGCATCAATCCATGCATCGATGCACCAATTAATAAATTGAACATCGAATGCATTTCATGCACCGATGCACTCTCCATGCATCGATGCACTCGGATTTTATGAAAGCATCGAATGCATTTGATGTATCGATGCACAAGCCATGCATCGATTCACTCAGGCTATTTTCAAACATCGATTGCATTTTATGCATCGATGCATACTTAGTGCATCGATGCACTAAGTGTCCCAATGGTCAAAATATTTAAATTTTACACTTGATGCATCGATACATCTTGTTTATGCATCGATGCATGAGACGCTCCCAACCAGATTTTTAATTGTTTTCACACTCAAACGGCTCTATTGACTCCACTAATCATCCCCAACCTTCAGAATCATTTGAAGAAGTATTTAAACAATCTTAGAAGCCATTGATCAATAACAAGAAAGAATAAGAAACAACAAACAAGACAGAATCAAAGAGAAAGCATCAAACCTCAAGTTTGAGCATTTCAAGCCTATTTTTCATTCAATATTCATTTTGCTTTCAAGAACACTTTTGTACTCAATTGTATTCATTCTTGAGTGTTCTTTTTCTTTGTTCTAGAATTGTGCAAACATATTTTCCTTGTGAGGTTTTCCTTGTAAGTTTGCGAATTTGTAATCTTCTCTTTGAGAAAGAGTGTTCTCAAGAATTGGGGTATATTCTTGAGGGAGTTGTAAGGTTATCTCTTTGGCCTCAAAAGAAAGAACAAATTAGTGAATTTGTTGGAAAATCCTTAGTGTGGATAGCTAAGGTAGTGGACGTAGACTTTGTTTGAGAAAGTTGAACCACTATAAATCGCTATGAAATTTCATTCAATTTTCTGCAAAAGCTTCCACCGAAATTTTAATTGCCAATTCACCCCCTCTTGGCCGATTCCGTTGATCGATTAACTCAACAATTGGTATCAGAGCCTCACTCATTTAAAGGTTTAATCGCCTCTTGAGTCGATTCGGGAAGAGTTACATCGATTATCTAGTCAACAATGGCCTCCGCTTCAAATTTCGACTCCGGTCTCGATTCGATGCCCGTCAACAAGCCTCCTTTCTTCAATGGAGCTAACTATGCCTATTGGAAAAATAGGATGATGTACTTCATTCAAGCAAGTTACATGGGGGCATGGAATGCCGTAGAAGAATGATACATCAAGCCTCTCACTCATCCAAGGTTGTGGAGTGAAGGAGAGACAAGATTGTTCCAGCTAAACTCTAAAGCCATCCATATCATATTTTGTGCTCTTTAACCAGATGAATACGGAAGAGTTTCATATTGTACAACCGCCAAAAAAATATAGGACAAGCTTCAAGTCACTCATGAAGGTACCGACGAGGTAAAAAAATCTAAAATTAGTATTCTAACGCATAGCTATGAAAATTTCAAGATGAAACCAAATGAAGATATCAAAGCTTTGACGGATAGATTTTCAACGATTGTCAATGGTCTCAAATCATATGGAAAGATCATTTCAAATGAAAAGCTTGTGAGGAATTTAGTTTACTCCCTTCCAAAAGCATGGCAATCAAAGAAGACGACAATCATCGAGGCTAAGGACCTAACGTCCTTAACTCTTGAAGAGCTAATCGGTTCCCTCCTCACTCATAAAATGATGCTTGAAGATGAGGTGGACCTCGATAAGATTGACGAGACACCAAAGGGAAAGAAGAAAAACATTGGAGTTGCTCTCAAATCCACAAAAGATGAGAGTGATTTGAATGACGATGATGATGACGAGGAAATGGCATTATTCGCCAAACGATTCAGAAAATTGATGATGCCCAACCGAGGAAGAAAATGCAAACGTAATGAAGGCTTCAAAACTGAATCGAAGGAGAAAGACCCGATCATTTACTATGAATGCAAAAAGCCGGGGCATGTCAAATATGATTGCCCATAATTGAAGAAAAAGAGTCAATCCAAAAAGAAGCACAAGGCTCATGTAGCTACATGGAGCGATGAAGAAGGTTCCGATGAAGAGGAACAAGAAGTTGCAAACTTGTGCTTGATGACCATCGGGGAAAACTCTAAGGTAACCTCTAACTCATTTGATTCAGATGAATTATCTTATGATGAGTTGTTAGAGGATTATAATGGGTTGGCTTCGGATTATATGACTCTATTTTCAAAATAAAAAAATGATGTTTCAAAATTGAAAAACGAAAATAGTCTTATATCCAAGACCAACAATGAGCTTGAAAGTAAGCTTAAGAATTGCAAATCAAAATTGATGATTTTGAAAAGAAAAATAATGATTTGCATAACTTACTTTCAAAAGTTCATGATGATCATCAAAAAGAAATTGATGATCTTAAAGCTTATTTTAATAAAGTTGGTACAAAGCATTTTGAAAAATGAGAAAATTCAAAATCCAACTTTGTTAGAAAAAGTTTTAGAAACTACAATCATAGAGGTCCTCAAAGAACCTCAAATGGTAAAATCATTAGAAGTATATGGGTTCCTAAAGGACTCATTACTACAAAATATAAAGATATCCTACACAAATGGATACATAAGGGGACTAGAGTTTTAGAAACGAATGAATATGGACCCAAAAGAATTTGGGTACCAAAAATCAGAAATTAATCTATGTTTGTAGGAAAAGGAGCATTGCTACAAGGCACGAGAAACAAATTCAAATTCATGGTACCTTGATAGTGGATGCTCGAGACACATGACCGGAGACAAAAGCTGGTTCATAGAGCTTAACGCCAAAAATGGAGGAGAAGTGACTTTTGGTGATAATTCAAAAGGTCACATTGAAGGTATTGGTACTATAGGTAACACCTCTTCCATACAAATTAAAAATGTTTTATATGTGAATGGATTAAAGCATAATCTATTGAGTATTAGTCAATTATGCGATAAAGGATTCAATGTCTTATTTGAAATTAATGGTTGTAAAGTTATTGACATTGCATCTAATCGGATTATGCTTGTTGGTCATAGAATAGGAAACATTTACATGGTGCATTTAGACTCTATTGATATGACTAATTTATGCCTAGTTGCTAAGGATGAGCATGATAGTTGGTTATGGCATAGGAGACTAGGACATGCTAGTATGAGTGTTTTGCAACGATTAATTCAAGGAGACCTAGTAAGAGGGTTGCCTAAACTTAAATTTGATAATGATAAAATATGTGATGCTTGTGCTAAAGGAAAACAAAGCGAGTTTCTTTTAAATCTATTAATGAGTATCAACTAGTAGAGTATTACAATTGATCCATTTAGATCTTTTTGGGCCAACTAGAACTACTAGCTTGGGTGGAAAACAATATGCATTTGTCTTGGTAGATGACTACTCTAGATATACTTGGGTTCTATTTTTAAGTACAAAAGATGAAGCATTAGAAAATTTCATCACATTTTCAAAAATAATCCAAAATGAAAAAGGTTACTCTATAACTAGTGTTAGAAGTGACCATGGTACTGAATTTGAAAATCTTGGATTTATTGAGTTTTGTAATTCTAATGGTATTAGCCATAATTTTTCAACACCTAGAACCCCTCAACAAAATGGAGTTGTTGAGAGGAAAAATCGAACTTTAGAAGAAATGGCTAGAACCATACTTTGTGAAAATAATTTGCCAAAATATTTTTGGGCGGAAGCCACAAATACCGCTTGTTATGTTGTAAATCGAGTAATGATTAGGCCAATTTTAAAGAAAACTCCATATGAAATTTTCAAAAATAAAAAGCCTAACATTAGCTATTTTCATCCTTTTGGATTTAAATGTTTTGTTTTAAACAACGGTAAAGAAAACCTTGGCAAATTTGATGCTAAAAGTGATGAATGAATTTTTCTGGGTTATTCCTTAAATTCTAAAGCTTATCGTGTATTTAATAAAAGAACTTTAGTTGTAGAAGAGTCTATACATGTTGTTTTCGATGATAATCCCCTTCCTAGGAAGGATTCTTGTGTTAATGATGATGTAGGTATTGTACAAGCAAATGACGTTAGACATGACGTTGGAGAATCATCATCAAAGGAAGAAACGAAAGAAGAGGAAACTCGTGATCCCCTCGAGAATCCAACCATTGAAGAAAGGGAAGTATCTTATCGAAGAGAGTACAACTATGTCAAGGATGGTGAAATTATAGGTGATCCATCCAAAGGGGTAACTACTCGATCTTCTCTTAGAAATATTTGTAATTTTGTTGCATTTATTTCATGCATAGAGCCTAAAAATATCAAAGAAGCATTAAAATATGAACATTGGATTATGGCTATGCAAGAAGAATTAAATCAATTTGAGAGAAGTAAAGTATGGACATTAGTTGAAAGGCCTAGTAATAAATCTACTGTAGGTACTAGATGGGTATTTAGAAATAAGCTTGATGAAAGTGGTAATATAGTGAGGAACAAGGCTAGACTTGTTGCTCAAGGCTATACTCAAGAAGAATGATTAGACTATGATGAAACATATGCTCCCGTAGCTAGGATGGAAGCAATTAGAATGTTCTTAGCATTTGCATGTTTCAATGAGTTTAAATTATATCAAATGGATGTTAAAAGTGCATTTTTAAATGGTTTTATAAAATAAGTGTATGTGGAACAACCTCCAGGTTTTGAAGATTCAAAATTTCCAGATCATGTTTTTAAATTGACAAAAGCACTTTATGGTTTAAAACAAGCTCCTAGAGCTTGGTACAAAGATTTTCAAATTTTTTAATAGAAAAAGGTTTTTCAAAAGGGAAGGTTGACACTACATTATGCTCAAGAAATTTGGATTGGAAAGGGAAAAACTTTTGCCACTCCAATGAGTTCTTCTACAAAGCTTGACATTGATGAAGGAGGTAAATGTGTGGATGTTAAATTATATAGATCCATGATTGGCTCATTGCTTTATCTAACCGCAAGTAGACCAGATATTATGTTTAGTGTTTGCTTGTGTGCTAGGTTTCAATCATGTCCTAAAGAATCACATTTACTAGCCGTTAAGAGGATCTTTAGATACCTTAAGGACACTTCTAGTTTATGACTTTGGTATCCTAGAGACTCTAGTTTTAGCTTGCATGCCTTCTCTGATGCGGATTATGGAGGATGCAAATTAGATAGGAAAAGCACCTCCGGTACTTGCCAATTCCTTGGAAATATGCTGATTTCTTGGTTTTCAAATAAACAAAATTGTGTTGCATTATCTACCACTAAAGCGGAATACATTTCAGCAGGTAGTTGTTGTGCACAAGTTTTATGGATGAAACAACAACTTTTTGATTATGGAATTGAAGTAAGTACTATTCCTATCAAGTGTGGCAAAACTAGTGCTATTTGTCTCACTAAATATCCCATCCAACACTCTAGAACTAAGCACATTGAAATTAGACAGCACTTCATTAGAGACCATGTCGCTAAGGAAGATGTAGTTCTAGAATTTGTTGATACTTTGCACCAATTAGCGGATATTTTTACAAAACCTTTAGATAAGGAAAGATTTTGGACACTTAGGAGAGAATTAGGTTTAACTGACCTATCTTCACTTAGTGTTTAAAATAATTTTAGCATTTTTAAGAATAAATAAAAAATGCTTATAATAATGATTTTTGGTTGCATTCTTTGCTATTAGTTAGGGGGAGTTTATGTTCTTTGGTTAAAATTAATTTTATGTTCAAATAAAGTTTAAAGATTAATTTGACTGATTGAACATAATTAATTTTTGATATATGAGTTGCCAATACCACTAGAGCCAAATAATTTAGCATTTTAAGTGTTTAAAATGGATTTTTGACATTTTTGTGCTTCATGCATCGATACACTTAACAATGCATCAATGTATCCCTTTGAATGTGCACCGATACATTATGAAGATGCACCGATGCACGCCTTGAATGTGCATCGATGCACAAGACCATGCATCGATGCATCCATCAGGTTTTGATTAAAAACCCTGATTCTCTTCTTTGTTTCTAAACCCTTAAAAACACTCCCTTACCGCCTCTCTCCCCCTAATCTCCATTTGCTCAAAATCATCGGAAAATCATCGGTTTCTTTGTACTTTTCAACTTCAAAACCTACTTATATCATTAAATCGTGCTAATCAACTCCTCATCCCTCTCAATCCGAATTTTCAAGGTAATATTTCAAAAACCTCTATTTTATTGATTTTTGATTTTAGAACTAGTTTTGATTAGCTCTAAGATGAACATTATTTCGGGCATTGATTGTTTGTTGGTTCTAAACTAGATTTTACAACCAATTTCGTCAAAAACAAACAATTTTTCAAGATTTTTCTTTGGATTTCGAAATTAAAAAATATTATGATTTCGAAAATTAGTAATATTTTTGATTTAATTGTTTTGTTTTCATGAAAACTATATTATGATTATCAAATATTATTTTCAAATAGTTTTCAAAACATGCCCATTAGGATATGGTTTAGAGAACCTTGAATTATTGAGGACTCATTTGAGTTTTGGGATTGATTATTGTGCATACATGTGTTTCAATTGCAGGTGATATTCCTTATTTCGATTTCTTTTAATCATGTCAAACCCTAAACGCCCTAAGTCCTCTTCGAGTCGTTCAAACCGTCCTACCGTTCCTCAACCTCAAAATCCAAAGAATCCTTCCTCGACCCTTATTAGTACATGTTTCAATATGCCTGAACACCATAGAGAGGAATTGTACCATAGGTACATAAACTCTTTCCAATCTTATAGGATCCGAGATGAACATATTCTATCTCTTCAAGCCATGATAGACTTTAAATTTGAATACCTTTCGACTCTTAGAAATTGGAAGTTTAATAAACTGTTTTCTCTTAGACCCATCGTCTTTCACCAATTAGTCCGCATTTTCTATTCTAATGCGGTTTGTATTCAAAACCAAACTCAATGTGGAACTATAGGAATTAGATCCTATCTTTTAGGTCAATATATTACTATTGACTCAGCCTCTATAGCTTCACATTTTGGGTTAGATGAAAATGGTGTTTTTGATGAAAAATAAACTGTGGATTATCCATACATTCCTAATGCTAGTGTTAGTACCATAAGATCACATCACAATCGTTTTCTCCATTTGATGATCTCTTGGTGGTTTAGACCATCCATGGGTAGGTACTCCACTCTTCGTATTAGGGATTTATGGTGGATGTATTGTATTCAGAATAATATCAAAATAAATCTTTCACAGATTATCTTTAGTGTGCTAGTTGATACCATAAACATTATCCCGTCCAAACACGTTGAAACATTAGTTTATGGTTGTCTTCTTAGCAATCTCTTTATCAAACTCGGTCTGGATATCTCTCTTGACAATCCTATTCCCCTTCAAAACCCAATCAATCTTATCTCCTTGAAGAAGGCGGATTGGAAACAGGATGAATTCATTGGCTTATGGGTTTTTCGACCCGTTAAGCAAACTCCGGGAGCAATTTCTTTACGAGCTGCTTCTAGCTCTTCTTGTGCTCCTCCTCTGGCACCGGCTGCAGATGATGATCCAGAACTCCAGCAGCTCATGCGAGACATCGATGAAGAAATTCCTGATGCTCCTCCGGTACCTGATCCAGCACGGTAAGAAGATCAAATGCCACCATATTTTTGATCCTTCTTAGAATCGTTTGATCTGAGGTTTGCTTCCATGGAGTCTCAGATTACTGAGTTTCAGCAGGAGATGCGTGAACTTATGGACACTCTCACTCTTGAAGTTCGAGCTCGTTTCCCTCCTCCTCCTCCCGATCCTTCTATGGATGAATAGACTTATTTTTTTGATTTGATTGTTTTTGGGTTTGAACTTGAACTTAAATTGTTAAAACATTTTGGATTGTCTTTCTTTGATTGTTGGATGTTTGTTTGATGGATATGTGAACTTTTATTTCATATATATTTTGGTTTGTTTCAATATATGCATCATTTACATTTTAGTTGAAATATGACCAATTTACCATTTCACATTTGTTATGAATATTGATTTATGAAACTAATGGCTAATCTCTCTTTTGATTGTGATCTTAGCAGCTTAAGCTTTATATTAATAAATCAATTGTATTACGTTTTTCAAAATTCTTGTTTAAAATATATTTTATAGAGTCTTTTTGATTTAACAAAAAGGGGGAGAAGATGTCATAGTAAGGGGGAGTAATTTTTCAAAATTGATTTCAAAAATAATTTCTTAAACAAATCTTAAAATTACTCAAATGTTTTGTTATATCAAAAAGGGGGAGATTGTTGAAAACATTTTGATATTTCGATATAACAAATTAAGTTAAATGAATTTTAAGATTTTACAAATGATTTTCTAAGGTATATTCGAATTAATTAATCGAATAACATATTATTTCTCCAAGTCTTTTAAGATCAATTTTAATCCTTACTAAATGTGTAAAATTGTGTTTTATACTTAATATATTTTTTTGAAACAATTTTCACAAAGTATTTTGAACCAAAATCAAGCCTTAAATCAATTTTTCAAAGGCATGCACCGATGCATCAATCCATGCATTGATGCACCAATGAATAAATTGAACATCGAATGCATTTCATGCACCGATGCACTCTCCATGCATCGATGCACTCGGATTTTATGAAAACATCGAATGTATTTGATGCATCGATGCACAAGCCGTGCATCGATTCACTCAGGCTATTTTCAAACATCGATTGCATTTTATGCATCGATGCATACTTAGTGCACCGATGCACTAAGTGTCCCAACGGTCAAAATATTTGAATTTTACACTTGATGCATCGATACATCTTGCTTACGCATCGATGCATGAGATGTTCCCAACCAAATTTTTAATTGTTTTCACACTCAAACGGCTCTATTGACTCCACTAATCATCCCCAACGTTCAGAATCATTTTAAGGAGTATTTAAAGAAGCTTAGAAGCCATTGATCAATAACAAGAAAGAAGAAGAAACAACAAACAAGAGAGAATCAAAGAGAAATCATCAAACCTCAAGTTTGAGCATTTCAAGCCTATTTTTCATTCAATATTCATTTTTCTTTCAAGAACACTTTTGTACTCAATTGTATTCATTCTTGAGTGTTCTTTTCTTTGTTCTAGAATTGTGCAAACATATTTGCCTTGTGAGGTTTTCCTTGTAAGTTTGCGAATTTGTAATCTTCTCTTTGAGAAAGATTGTTCTAAAAAATTGGGGTATATTCTTGAGGGAGTTGTAAGGTTATCTCTTTGGCCTCAAAAGAAAGAACAAATTAGTGAATTTGTTGGAAAATCCTTAGTGTGGATAGCTAAGGTAGTGGACGTAGACTTTGTTTGAGAAAGTCGAACCACTATAAATCGCTGTGCAATTTCTTTCAATTTTCTGCAAAAGCTTCCACCGAAATTTTAATTGTCAATTCACCCCCCTCTTGGCCGATTCCGTCGATCGATTAACTCAACAGAATCCATAATTTATGAATCTTCAATGTAATACGCACCGGAGGTTAAAGCCATTTTTTATCGGTTGCGTCGGGAATCGGTTGAGCTTCTTCGAGGATCGTCTCAAGGATGTTATGCCTTCTAACGAGTCAAGCTCTGATACCAATTGTTAGGATTTGAGGAAGTTCGAATTGACAACCGGAACGATTTGTAAAGAGGGGTCAGAACGGGTTTTGTGTTTAGGGAGTAAGGAGATTGAAAGATAGAGAATTACACAGTGATTTATAGTGGTTCGACTTCTCAACCAAGTCTACATCGACTACCTTATCTCCTCACCAAGGATTTTCCAACAAATTCACTAATTTGTTATTTCTTTTGAGGACAAAGAGATAACCTTTACAACTCCCTAGTTTTTCACAGGATAAACTAGAACCTTTCCCTAGCTTTTACACGGGCTTAGCTAGAACATTTCCCCTTTAAAAAAGGATAAAATAAGTAAACAAAATAAACCTCTCTAAGGTAGGTGTTTACAAGAATTAAGCTCACAATAACAATATTTACAAGAGAGAATGAAAATAAGAATGAAAAACTTATTCTCTTGTGTTTGAATGCTTGGATAGTTGTTCTCTCCTTTCTTCAAGTGTCCTTAGCTTGTATTTATAGCTTGAAATGTGTTTGATGTCGTATCTAGCCATTGGGGATGTTTTGGAGCCCTTTAGGGATTATTTTTCTGCAAAACAAGGCTGCCCAGAAGAGGGGGTATCGGTACCCCTTCAAGGGGTATCGATACTACCTTTGTTAAATTCAAATTAAACTAGCCGTTGGAGCCAGGGGGTATTGATACCCAGATAGGGGTATCGGTACCTGAGTATGGATACCCATAGGGGTATCGGTACCCTTTTTGCATTCGATGTTTGAGCAGTCATAGGGGTATTGATACCCATTCATAGGGGTATCGGTACCCAGGGTATGGATACCCATTCATAGGGGTATCAATACCCATTTACATTTTTTCTCAAATTCGAATTTAATGGACTTTGAATTATTTTTGAAACCTTTTGAAAACTTTGAATAAATTCAATTCAAGTCCAAAAACATTTTGCCTTAAATTTGTTATATCGTAACATAGTTTTACACGAAATAACCCAAAAACTTTAAAAATCTTCATTCAAACCCTTAAACCCATACCGACCGTTGCCCTTTGCCATCGACAAAGCTCCACCCGACATCACGTCCCCCCGGTGACCAAAACCCCTATAAAATCGTGATTGATTGACGGTGAATCGACTTTTTATACCCCCGCGAACCCTAGGATGAAACGATCCCACTTGATTCCTATGGCCAATCGACGACAACTACGGCAACGTATAATTAGGATGATGTAAGGGACCACGACGACGTCGGTGGTTCTGGTTTGAAAGGGTGCAGCGACGAGTTAGTGTTAGGATTTGAGGATTTTAAGGATTTTGAGGTTTTTGTAATCTAAAAGAAATTAGGTTTTTTTAATAAATATAATAATATTTTAAAAAATAAATTTCAAGATTACCAGATTATGACACGTGTCACTTAATGGAGAAAACTAACGAAAGTTACGGCCTGAACACCTAAAGTGGTCATGTTTGTAACTTTAGGCACCTAGATGGTCCAAAAAATACTATAGGCACCTTTTTGGAAAAAATAGTATAGTTTAGGCGCTTATTTGGGTATTAAGCCTAATTAATTTTTTATTCTTGAGATATTTCTATTCATGATTTAATATAATTTTAATTATTCGAGTAATTTTGTGAAAAAAAATTTTTTAGGATTAAAAATGAATTAATATCAAGTGGAAATTAGTATTATATGCGAGAAATGGAGATAAATTATTATTATTAAAGGAAAAATGTGATGAAAATGAATTATTTTAATGGGTTTGTACTTATTATTATTATTATATAGGATTTTATAGATTAAGATGATGGAGAAATATCACTTTTCATCACTTTCCTCTTATTCTACTTACAAGCAAACTGTGGATTTTTTTTAGTTACATAGAAAATTTGAGTTTTGATGATTTTTGCATTAAAACATTGACAAGTTTTCATCCTCCCAAGTTAGACCCTTCTTCAATCGGAGTAAATTTGAAGATATAAAAAGAAATTTATGTTATCAAAACATCTTTCATGTTTTATGTAAATCATTTAGAAATTTATAGGAATCTATAGTAACAAATGTTATACATGTGTTGCATTTAAGCTTTCACAAGTGATTTATAAGAGGGTTTTTCTAAGATTAGAAGAATAAATTAGTAGAGTGAAATTGTAAAAGTAGTTTAGACTTGTATTTAAATAAAGTTTTGTCGTATATTTTTCAGATTTTTTTTCATAAGTCACATATTTACTGTAATTCTTCTCCCTATCTTCAGAGAAACTCCTATGATATGTTAGAGCTAAATCTATTGTCAGACGATCATATTTTTCAATCAGTCACAATCCTTTGACATGGTCTCTGACAGACCCATATGATATGTTAGAGCTAAATATATTGTCAGACAACCATATTTATTTGTCATGTCAACCTATGAGTGACTATCATAACCCTATGTCTAAACCAACGTTAAGGGTTATTGTATAAATATCTCAGATAAGTTAGAAAAGGAAGATTCTCTCTCATAGTTACACATTACTCATCATCCTTAACTCGTCACTTTCTTTGAAATCACTGACTACGACTCTATGTCCAAGAGATTCTTAAAACATTTTTCTTTCACAATATTCTTTTAATTCCCATTTTCAATTATGTTTGCATTCAAGCTCTTGATTATTTCAAGCTCTTGATTATAATATACTTTTTTCATTGTTTCAGATTAATCTAGACGTTTCAACTTTAAAGATTGACGAAGTCACTCTTAATCTTGTTTAGAGCCTTAAGTTGATATGTACTTTGAACGAATTCCATCTTGTTATGTTGTTGAATCGTATCAAATTTAAGAGTAAAAATTCTTTAAGTAGCAACTCAAGATAAGGTATCTAATTCAGATATCAACTTTAGAGCAAAAATTATTTAGATATCAACTTTGAAAAATGTGTCAAATTTAAATACTAATTATATATTTAAGCCTTTAAACAAATTCAGCTCCAGTCACAACACAAGTCTGGAAGAAGAAGGGTGAATTGAGTTCTAAGCCAGTAGCCCCTATTGTTGGAGGAATTGAGGCTCTGCAGGAACTGAATGTTACTGGAATAAATGTTAATGTAGCTCACCATGAGAATGAAAACCGCCATTGATTCTAATTGTAATGATTCTATTGAAGTGCCTAAAGATTCTGTTGCTGATAGTCAGCGTAAATCTTCTGTTGATGATGGTAATTTAGCAACATAATCAACAATTCCTAAACGAGGTAGAGGAAGGCTTGCTAAGGATAAAGCAGTGTTAGCAGGATCAAAGATATAGATTTGAAGTTCTTAATTCGGTTGATGAAAATTATTCTAACTTTGAGGGCCAACCTAGGAAAATTTGAACTGCTTCCTTGGGAGTTGCAGGTCTGGTAAATGAACTCAAATTGAAAAAATGATAAATTGAATAACGCCAAAAGTCTTACAGTTGGGGTGATGGGGGTACCTTGGGATCACCTTCTCAATGATTATCAATTTTTGGAATGTTAGAGGATTTAATAATCCTCTAAAGAAAGATAAAGTGCTTCAAAGGGCTAATCTGAATAAAGTAGATGTTTTATGTTTTTTAGAAACAAGAGTCAAAGTTGAAAAGTCTAAGGGCATCTTCGAAACAAAATTAGCGAGTTGGAATGTAAGCTCAAACTATGATTATGCTATTAATGGAAGAATATGGGTTTTATGGAGGAAACGATTGGAGTTAACAATCTTTCATGTTTCTGACCAGATCATTTCTATAAAAGGATTTTTCATTGGTAATCCTCTTATTATTACAACAGTTTATGGCAGCAATGATGGCATTATTCGAAGACAGCTTTGGCAGCAGCTGTGTGATTTGGAAATAAGTATAGGTAATCTCCCTTGGATCCTGGGAGGAGACTTCAACGTTATTCTGCATCCGAATGAAAGCTCAGACTATGAACTTCTAGGTCCTTACTCTACTTTTGTTATGAAATAATTCTAGGATGTCACTCAGGACTTGGACCTTCACGATCACCCCTATTTTGGGCCTTCCTTCACATGGAGCAACAAGTAACTTGACTCTTACCTTGCAAGGAAACTAGAAAGGGTTCTAATCAATACCGTGTGGGTTAATTCTTTCCATAACTCATTTTTTGAATTTCTTGCGTATGGAATCTCTAACCATTGTATGGCTATTGTATGGCTTTCAAAAGAAACTCCATCTAATCGACCTAAGCCATTTAAATTCTTTAACTTCTGGACCCTTCACCCTAATTTCTTGAGAGAGGTTGAACAGTCTTGGAAGAGTACAATTCATAGAAACCCAATGAAGATTCTCTTTCTCAAATTAAAGTGCCTCAAGTCATGCCTCAGGAATTTAAACATAACTTGTTATAGTGATATCTCAACTCAGGTAAGGCAAAAGAAACTAGAGCTCGAACAACAACAACTTTAATCTTTAAAAGGAGAATATTCTTTTGGTAAGGAGATACAACTTCAAAAAGAGTTATTCAATCTTGAAGAGGTAGAGTTAATGTTCCTGAAACAAAAGGCTAAAATGCATTGGATCAAGGAAGGTGACAAATGCTCCAAATTCTTTCATTCTGCAGTTGCAGCCAAAAATAAAAATGACACTATTAGAGTTATTGTTGATGATCAAGGAAATAGACTTGAATATTTTGATGCAATGGCTGATGAAGTAATAACCTTCTTCTCTAGCCTGATTGGGACTGCTGATCCTAGGGTCAAAGGCAGTGACCCTATTCTCTTGAAAGAACTGTTACAATTTTCATTGCCTCTCGAATCTTCTTCTAGCCTTGTCAAGGATGTTACCACAGAGGAGATAAAAGAAGCTATTTTTGCCAAGGTAATGACAAAGCCCTTGGCCCGGATGGATTCACCCCTTGTTTTTTTCAAAAAATCCTGGTTCATTCTTGGTGATGATGTGGTAGCTGCAGTTAAATTTTTCTTCCATCAGTCTTCTCTTCTGCTAGCTTTCAATGCAACTACAATTGCATTGGTTCCTAAAATTCCTAACCCTAGCAAGGTTAAAGACTTCAGGCCTATCTCTTGCTGTTCAGTGGTTTATAAGACTATTACTAAGATTTTAGTCAAAAGGCTGACTAGTATTCTCCCAGGGATGGTAAATCTTAACCAGACTTCTTTTATAAAAAGAAGGAGCATTGTTGACTCTTCTTGCTCAGGAATTGGTTAAAGGCTATAGAAGGAAATCCATCTCTCCAAGGTGTTCTATGAAGATTGATCTCCAAAAGGCATTTGACTCTTTTCATTGGGGATTTATTTCAATAGTTCTGAAGGCTTTACATCTCCCAAATAGTATTATTGGATGGATTGAAGCATGCTTCACTGAAGCTAGATTCTCCATTTCTTTTAATGGGAGCTTGATTGGATTCTTCAAGGGAGCTAGGGGAATAAGACAAGGAGACCCTCTTTCTCATATCTTATTTGTTCTCGCTATGAATGTCCTCTCTAGAATGCTTAATATGGTTGTTGCTAGAGGTATGTATGGTTATCACCCTAAATGCAAGAAAATAGGGCTTACTCACTTATCTTTTGTTGATGACTTTATGATCTTTTGTAAAGAAAATGTGGAATCTATTGTTGGAGTCATTTCTGTTTTGGACTATTTCTATGAAATGTCTGGCCTTAAACTTAATGCTGCTAAATGTGATTTTTTTTTGTTGGAATCTCTGTCAGTAATCTTGGGATTATTAAGCAAATCTATGGTTTCAATCATGGTTGCTTGCCTTTGAGATACTTAGGAGTTCCTTTAGTAACTAGGAAGCTCTCTGAAAAAGATTGTGAGATTCTTATCGGTAAGATTAAATCAAGGCTCCTATTACGGTTTGGAAAACATTTGAGTTATGCTGATAGATTGGAACTTATCAGAGCTGTTATGTTCAGCGTTGCTAATTACTAGTGTAGGCAACTTATCCTGCCGCAATCTATAATTAACAAGATTGAGCAACTTTGCTCACGGTTCTTCTGGAAAGGATCAGACAAGGCTGCTTGTAGTGCGAGAGTTAGTTGGGCGAAAATCTATCAATCGAAATCTGAGGGAGAGCTTGGATTGAAGAACGTAAAAACATGGAATAAAGCGTGTATGATTAAACTTATTAGAAATATTCTTGCAGGAGAGGGATCTTTATGGGTAGTTTGGCTCAAAACCTACATTTTAAAGGAGAATGACTTGTGGCTCATGGAAGGAGGTGTTAATCTTAGCTGGTGCTTAAATAGAATTCTTAAATTAAGAACTGAAGCACTTCTAACTCTTTCAAAGGGAACACTGAAGATAAGGGACATATGGGAGGAGATTTTGGTGAAGGGTGATAAAGTCCCTTGGCACAAATTGATTTGGTTTCCTCTTCACATTCCTAAGCAAAGTATGATTGCATGGATGACTCTCTTGGACAGACTTCCTACTCGTGATCGGCTTCAACGAATGGGGATTGCTACTGTTGGAAATTGTGATATATGTAATGAAGCGATGGAAACAAGGGACCATTTGTTCTTAGTGTGCCCCTTGGCTTCTTATTTATGGGAGGCCATCTTGCTCCTTACCGGATTAAAGAGAACCCCATTGTCATGGGAGGACATGTTAGCTTGGGCTTGCGGAGCTTGGAAAGGTAAGTCTCTTCTCACTACTATATTGAAGCTTGCTTGGTGCGCTCGTATCTATGCCTTGTGGGAAGAACGAAATAGAAGAATTTTTCAAGGTTGCTCCAGATCTGCTGATGATATACTTATAGCTATAAAAGAGATTGTAGGTATCCAACTAAGAGGTAGGAATATAAATAGGATGGATAGTGTTAATATTAACCTTTGTAATTTATGGGGTATAGTATAACCGATCAATTGTTTTGTAAGTAGGTTGTACATATGGTTTTTGTGTTTGGTGATTGATTTTTGTAGAAGAACTCTGCTTCTTTAGGTAATAAAATGAAATTATCCAAAATACTGATCATGAAAGAACCCTTGATTTTTTTCTTTAAACTATACTACATCTATCTAATGCATACTTGAGTTTCTTAGTAACATGCTGATCATAAACAACACTCCCTTTCCAATGAATCAAACTCATTCATATATATATATATCCAACAGCACAAATATAAGCACTGTGCTAGTATTAGCATGCCAGGTCACAAATATCAACAGAAACAAATCCATGTTTATTGGAGGGGCAGTCAAGTCAGTAAACTGTTAAAATAGCATACTAATAACTCGAATGACATATATATATATATATATTGGGTGTGTATATATATTGGGTTTACTTCCACTTCCTGCCAAAGAACTTGCCCTTATGTTTTCCAAACATGCCATGCTTCCCGTGTTTAAATTTCCCATGTTTGAATTTTCCATGATGTCCATGGCCGTGGAAACCCCCATGCGCAAGATGATGAGCTCCATGTCCCATATGGTGAGCTCCGTAAACAGCCGCCGCGGCAGCTGCACCCCCAGCTAGTAATCCTCCCACGCCATGTCCATGTGAACTATGTCCCTGTGAACCATGTCCTGTAAATTCCACTATTCAGGTTAAAGAAGATGAACGTACACTTGAATCCAATGTCAACAATAACAAAACAGCAGCAATAAGGGATTTAAATAGCAGTCTACTGTAGCATCTGTATTGCCGCAATCGCGATCTACGCAACTCAACCGAAAATACGACCGCAACCGCAATTTAAGTCCCTTGCAGCAATAATAACAACAAAGAGTAATGGAGCATACCATGATAACCGGCTGGTGGATATCCTCCATGAGGTGGGTGAGGGTATCCTCCTGGAGGAGGATATCCAGCAGGTGGATATCCCTGTGGAGGGTAGCCTTGTGGTGGATATCCCTGATGAGGGTAACCTTGTGGTGGATATCCGTGCGAATGATGTCCAGTAGCATAGCCAGCAAGATGAGAAAACAGCCCTTTGTCACTAGATTCGCCTTCCTTACTACCTCCCATTTTTCTTCCACTTAATATTATTAACAAGTTCAAGCAGCTGCATTACGTTAGTAATGATTAAATAAGATTCTGAACATATACTACCTTAACAGAAACACACTCAATTTCCATATATGAAGTGCAGAAAACAGTAAAAGATGACTCAATTTCCATAACCTTGTATAATCTAAAGCCCCATTTATGAGACAGATACAATCATACAAGTTTTCCAATCCCATTAACAATGAAAAAATGATCAAAACTGGTGATAATAACAAACATTGTTGATATGATCAGAATCTATACTGTAAAAAGAAAATCAAAGTATCAAAGCAGATCATATTATCAGATCAAGAAACTTGCTTTAAACTAACAAAACATTATTAGTTTGATCAGATCATATTACCTTGTTGAAGCAGATTCTTCTGAGTGGTTTTTATTGATGGGGATGTTTGAGGATGAGTACTTACAAATTTTTTGAAGCGAATTATTTATAGGAAAAGATAACGAAAACAAAGATATCCTCTAATATTTTAAAGTCTCATTTATTCAACGCGGTTGCTTTGATGTGAAGAACACAAATCAAGTCAACGCGGTTGCTTTCTTCTTTACCCTATAGTATCTCCTCACAAACAAAATAAAGCCACGTTTTTTTTTAATTACGTAATTGCTAAGTTTTTTTAAAGACCACATTAATAAATTTACAAAAAAGAATTTAATCAATGTTGAAAATTGGATTTAAATTTTTAAATTTGGAAATTAAAGAAGGGTAAAGTATATAAATGGTAACTGAACTTTTGAAGCTCTTGCATTTATGTCCCCCAACTTTTAAAACTTACAACACAATCATCAAACATTTAGTTCGTTTGCAATATGGTCCCCGACGTAACCGGTCGTTTCACTGCCGTTAGAAGAAGATGATGTGGCACGTGGAAACCGTTTGCAACTATAAAAATTAGGGTAAATTATATAAATGGTCACTAAACTTTTCAGGCGCTTGCATTTAAGTCCCCCAATTTTTAAAACTTGCAACACAATCATCAATTACATTCTAAACTCCAAATTCCAAAATGCTTCAATTATATTCTAAACCTCAAATTCCAAACTACTTCAATTACATGCTCAACCCCAAATTCATAATCCATTCTCAAAATCTGTCATAACAAACTGAACTTAAAGCAGCAACCCTAAACCCTCAAAACATAACAGTTTCGAAAACATTTAACCAACTATAAGTGAATAATAAGTGATTATGTTGGACCTAAATACTCAATTCAATTTATAAAATAGTTGACTCGAATTTTTTTCGATTTGAGTTTATAAAATTTAAATCAAGTCGAATTGAATTAATTTTTTGAGTTTCTGTTTAAATTTAATTATAAATATTTATAATATTATAATATTATTTGATTCTAATTCAATTCAATTTATAAAATAGTTGACTCAAAATTTCTCGATTTGAGTTTATAAAATTTAAATCAAGTCGAATTGAATTGAATTGAATTTTTGAGTTTCTATTTAAATTTAATTATAAATATTTGTAATATTATAATATTATTTGATTTTAATTTAAATAATTTTTTAACCATATAAAATACATATATATTTCTTCATATTTTTTCCATATATGATATACATATATCATACAGAGTCAAGGGACTTGACTCAAACTTGAAAATTAATCCACTAATTACTAAAAATTTTGAGTTATTCGATTGTATTTTACAACTCGGTTTTAACTTCAAAATTTTTTAAGTTGAGTTTATGAAATTACAACTCAAAGTTAATTTGTATCAAATTTTTTGAATCAAGTCAAGTCGAAAAATATTTTTTTCGAATCGAATTGAGTATTGTTCACTTATAGTTGTTTAAATCCAACTTTTAAATCCTAAACCCAACATAATCACTTATTGTTATGGACCTAAATACAAACTGAACTAAATGTTGTTGATTATTTTGAGTTAATTAATGGGGAAATTTAGCATTTAGGGTTATGTTTTGATGGTTTAGGGTTGTTGCTTCAAGTTCAATTTGTTATGGCAGATTTTGAGCATGAATTATGAATTTGGGGTTGAGCACGTAATTGAAGTATTTTGGAATTTGAGGTTTATAATGTAATTGAAGCATTTTTGAATTTGGGGGTTTAGAATGCAATTGATGAATGTGTTGTAAGTTTTAAAAGTTGGATAACCTAAATGCAAGCGTCTGAAAAGTTTAGTGACCATTTAAATAATTTACCCTAATTTTTATAACTGCAAACCATTTCCACGTGCCACATCATCTTCTTCTAACGACAGTGAAACGGCCGGTTACATTAGGGACCATATTGCAAACGAACTAAATTTTTGATGACTGTGTTGCAAGTTTTAAAAGTTAGGGGACCTAAATGTAATTACCTGAAAAGTTTAGTGACCATTTATATACTTTACCCATTTTTTTGTTACAAAGGTAATTACTTAAAAGAGCAAACTTAAGGCATATCCACAAAAACACGGGCTAAACATCCTTTAAAGGCATAGCTCGTTTTGTGATCCATCTTAAGCACTCGACTAAGTGAATTCCTCATAGCAAACAACATGCGTTCATTATAATACTGGACATGTAAACTTGGGAATCGGACCCAAACTGCGATAGAATCAATGGTTGTGGTGGACGAATGAAAATCAACAAACCATTTGCAAACAGTCTAGTAATGGTTGAAAACTTTGTAAATCTCCAACGTCGTTGCCATGGATGGAGTCGTAAATGAATCTGTCTCAACTACGAGCCACATGCCCCAAGTCCCGTCTTACAAGGAAACCCTGATGGGTGAAAACTCAAATACTTCAAAATCAGAAGAGCTTATCATCGACGATGAAGGAATCAAATTACTAGAGGAAGATGTTGCCCGTAGCATTGTTGATGGCATTATTTCTATCGATTTCTCCAATCGTGTTAAAGAGTTGGCGGCTAAAAGTCTTGATCAAACTGTAGTGGTTAAACTATTAGGCAAGAAGATCGGTTATACGACTTTAGCCAATAAAATTTATGAACTTTGGAAGCCATCTCAACCAGTTCGTGTTATGGATATTGAGAATGATTGTTTAATCTGATTTTGATTTTTTGAAAGTAATAAGGGACCATGGATGATCTTTGGTCACTACTTAATTGTTGAGTCCTGGATGGTCGATTTCTCAACTACCCAACTACATCTAAAGAAAAATACCGCGTAGATTCGTCTCCCAGGCCTACCAGCTACACTTTACAAACGAAGTTTACTCGCTGAAATTGGCGAATGCATAGGCTCAGTGATTAAGATTGATTTTCAAACTGAAAATGGGCGAAGGGGTCGCTTTGCTCGTATGGCCATGAGACTTGATCTTGGTAAACCTCTTGTCTCAAAAATTCTTGTTAATGGTCGTCTTCAAGTCGTCGAATATGAAGCTTTGCCAACTATCTGCTTTGAGTGTGGCAAATATGGCCATGTTAAAGATATATGTCCCTTGATAGTTTCTCCGCCGCAAACAACCCCAATGACTGATACATCTCCTTCGGTTCCTGCCCTGGAAAACTCTTCTTATGGCCCTTGGATGATGTGACAAGAAGGCAACACAAGAACACTGCAAAATCAACCGACACGGGACAAGGTGTAAAGGAAAGTTTCAATAACGGTTCTCGCTTCAATCGTATATTTGAAGTCTCTGATGATGAGCATCTTGAACAACCGACTTCTGTCCTCCCTAGAGAAGATGAGCCCTCTATTCGCAATCTGAAGCAGATAAAATCAAAAGCAGTAACTATCCATAATAAGGGTAAAAGCGTTGCCGAGCCTGGGAATTCTAAATTGAGAGGGTCTATCCCAGTTCTTAAGTCTCTCTCGATCCATGTCCCATCCTCCTCATCGAAGTTTCCCTCGATAGCCACTCGTCGACCACTTGGTGTCAACCGAATTTCCCAAGTAACCTACTTGTTAAGTCTAGCCCTATTTGAACTCTTGGCACACAACACTGGTTATCTCTGAAAATTCTGACCCAAATATCATGGGCACCCATCATGTATCTGTCTCTTTCAATCATTTTCATCCTAACCCTTAGCCTTTGGATGTTAGTACCGTAACGTGGCAGCAAGGAGATCGTGACTCTCTTCCAACCAATCTGCCGTTTTGATATTCCAACGCATCGCCGATGGTCGACTAAAGCAATGATAAAGTCTTTCCTGCTCTTTTATATTTTATGATGATTAAGATATTTGTATGGAATGTTTAGGGTTGTGTACAAAAATGTACACAAGTGTCTTATGAAAGTAAAAAGAATGCGAGTACAAATTGATTTATATTTTTGCTCAATTTGAATGCTTTGTCTTCCTCTTTGATCTTTTGTCTTTATATGAGGCTTAGGATCTTGTTTTTATACTCTTTCATTCAATTCTAATTGTTTGAGAACGTTGAGGATGAAGTTTTTCGCAATAAATAATGTTCAGATGCCTAGGGTATTGGTACTATAGTTGCGAGTATCGATATTACCCGCATTAAATACAAAAATATAATCGTTAGGAAAGATAAATATCGATATTATATTATGAAACATTGATATCACCGTATAAGAAGTATCGGTATCACTGATGGTATCAATATCATTTTCGTATATTAGAATTTGTTCAATTTCAAAAACATTAGTGAAGTATTGGTACTACCATTTGGACTATCAGTACTACTGTTATAAATAGTATTGATACTAGATGAAGTATTGGTATCATTTTGGTATATTGTTTTGTCAAAACAATAGGTAGTATCGGTACTACCCAACGTAGTATTGATACTTTATGATTTTAAGCCTTTAACATCGATACTCATCTATACTAAATGAACAATATTGGTATTGTTCTTATAGTATCGATACACCAATACTTAAAAAAACATTTTTAATTAGATTAAAGTTTGAAATCCTTAGAAAAATTTGTTTTAAAAATATTTTTAGTATTTTTAGCTTAGAAAAAGTGTATCTCTTCAAATATTCAAATAGAATATGATCTTAAAAATTATTAAATATTTTTTGTATATCAAAATAGTAATGCACGTTAAACATATATTAAGTTATCAATATTAAATCTGATAAGCCAATGTAACGACGTCGATTTGATTCCCGATTAAACCGGATTGAAGTGTTAAATAAATTTTCATTAATCATAAATAAATTCATTAATTTTAAATACTGAAATTTATGTGGTGATATGTTATTATCCAAAAAATAAAATACGATAAAAGAATAATTTTTATAGTAAATGGATGATAAATGTGTTAAACTCATCCAAAAGGTTTTGACCAATCAATATAAATATATATTTGATTATTTTTTAAATTAATCCTATTTGTAAATTAACTTTATCAATGTATGTGTATGTATGCATGTATGTGTATATACATGCATGTACGTATATACATACATGCATGTAGTACATACATCATACATACATGCATGTTCTACATTATGCATACATACATGCATGCATTCATGGATTAATATACTTTTATAATATTTTCTAAATAAAAATATTGATTAAGACGTTAAATTTTTGTTCAACTTTTAAAATGAATGCAATTGAGTTCAATTTAGTTTAATTTAGTTCTTCAAATTATATTTTTATATGAAATTGGCCCAAATTATTTTTATTTTTTTAATTTACTCCAAACTCTATTACAAATTACAATTAGATGTTCGTGAAAGGCGAAAAATAATTCATCTGAAAATGACTAGACCTGAAGTTCATCTATACTCGGTAAGACCCGACTTGGAGTTCACCTGAAACTGATATTACTCGACCTGAATTTTATCTCCATCCAAACTTGAATTAACATAACATTTAACTGATTCAGAGTCAGACCGTTTTGAACTAAACTAATATTGATTAGACCTGAAATTAACCCGACCCGAATTGAATATAATTTAAAATCAACCTGAAAATGACTTGAACCCGAGTCGACCCCAACCCAACGTGACTCGAGTTGAACTATTAAATTGACATGACATAACCCATATTGATTTGACTTGATTTGAGATGACTTAACTTAAAATTTGAACGATTACCTAATTTCACATCTCTTCTTGTAATCACCCATAATATTAAGGAATATATATATGGGTAAGGATCCAATTACACTTAGTGTAAACCTTTTAGTTTTACACCTTTTTATGACTGTTGGATGAGGAAAATCAAAGACAAAGATTAACAGTAGGAAATGAGAAGATATTCATTGGAAAAAAGGAAACAAAGAGTTAATCTCAACATTTAATTTCCCTCATCCAACGGTCCTAAAATGGTGTAAAACTAAGGGGCGTTGGTTCACGGAATATAAGATTACATTTGGGAAAAAGATTATTGGAATGTAACATTACTCTAGGAATGTTGTATTACATTGTTTGGTTTGTTTAGCAGAAATGTAAGACTACAGTGTCTGGTTTGAGGAGTATAAGATTATTTGGATGCATATTTTACCAAATTATCCTTGTGATATATGTTCTTTTTAACAAGTTAAACTTTAATATTAAATTATAAATATTTGAATGAAAAAAATACATTTAACATATAATTAATATAATTAATATATCAAACTTATATTTTTAAACAATTTTCATAAATATCATATTTATTTCTATAAAATATAGTATAATATGAAAAATAATATTTAATTTTGAGTGGACAAATATATTATTTTTCAATGTATAAGATCTATTTTTAATAACTCAAAATTGGATATTATTTTAAATAATTACATTTTTACGATAATAACATTATCATCTCATAAAATTATAAAATGGTTAATATACTAAATATTAAAAATATAAAATAATTGAAATACTCAAATTTATTAATATTTTACTAAATTAAACTCTTTATATATTATTATTATTATTATTAAATTTATAATTTTGAGTAAAGCATGAAGAATAAAAATTAAGAAGAATCTATATGAAAAGAATTTATTATTTAAGGGATATTTTTGTCCAAAGTTGTGGGAATTGTTGATTACCTAAGAATTTGGAAGTAACGACATTACCACCATTTTAATCAAAAGATGCTACTATTGATAATAAGTCGTTACTTGGTAGTAATGATTTTTTTCTCGAACCAAACGTGAGAATACAATTCCGAAAAAAGTTATTCCCCTTGGTAATGATTTTTTTGTGAACCAAATGTCTGCTAAAAGTTTTACACTAGGTGTAAGTGGATACTAACTATATATATATATATATATATATATAATACGAATATAACCGTTCCTATTTTAATCCACAATTGTATATCAATTCCATGTAATCCCAAAAAGAAAATAAAGAAAAGAAAAAGGGTCTCTACATGGTTTATTTAACAATCCAGAATCCTTGGTGGATATCGTGCCAAGTTTCAGTTGATACTTCAAAAATAACAAGTTCTTAGTATTTCAGTATTTCTTACAACAGCAAATGTCAAAAAATAGTTATCAGTAAAAGCCCCCAAGTTGTGGAAGGCATGGTTTTGGCTTTGCCACCACTCAATTACAAACCCCACTGGCAGTGGCACTGTTGTTCTTCCTCCTCCTCCTCCTCCTCTTCCACCACCATCCACCGCCGCCCTGCAGTCATCCTTCCAGTTAAATCTCTATTCCCTCCATGCATTTGTCAAATGAACACTTTTATGCCTATGTTATGTTGCATTTGACACCCTCTATTTTGTCCTCCTTTTATTTTCTTTCAGGGGTTAGGGAATAATACAGGTGACTATAAGAAGTTGGAGTTAACCTTGCAAGAGTATGGAGTGCCCACTGTTGTTGCTAAGGTTTCAAGAATTGATTGGCTGAGGAATGCAGCTGGCTTGGTGGACCCAAACTACTGGAAAGGCACTTTGCAGCCTAGACCTGTTCTTGACTGGTATCTTTCAGTTTAAACAATGCTGAATGTGGTACAAATATGAATGTATGCAAGTTTTTTCAAAAATATAAATTTGGGTTTGATAGATTATTGTGTGAAAGCAGGTATTTGAAGAGGGTTGATGATGCAGTTCAAGAAGCAAAGGAATTAGCTCAGGGTGCGAATCCTAGCCTTTACTTTGCTATTACTTTACTCTTACTCGGTGCAGATGAATTTGTTTAATCGTTCAATGTATTTCGAGGATCCTTAAAGACTACGTCCCTACACTTATGTCCATATAGGATTGCAGATTTGCAGTTGTTGGAACTTATCCCTAGACCTGTTCACTGGTATCTTTCAGTTTAAAAATGCTGAATGTGGTACAAATATGAATGTATGCAAGTTTTTTCAAAAATATAAATTTGGGTTTGATAGATTATTGTGTGAAAGCAGGTATTTGAAGAGGGTTGATGATGCAGTTCAAGAAGCAAAGGAATTAGCTCAGGGTGCGAATCCTAGCCTTTACTTTGCTATACTTTACTCTTACTCGGTGCAGATGAATTTGTTTAATCGTTCAATGTATTTCGAGGATCCTTAAAGACTACGTCCCTACACTTATGTCCATATAGGATTGCAGATTTGCAGTTGTTGGAACTTATCTACTCCGGTCACTTTTTTTAGGGTAAAGTACATAAATGATCCTCTGATTATAGGGTGTTGTTTTGTTGAGTCTCCCGACTATTAAAAGTTATAAATTAGTCCCCCGACTATAGGACATTGCTTTGTTGAGTTTCCCGACTATTAAAAGTTATAAAATGATCATCTGACTATTCATATATTTCAAACTCGTTCTTTTTTCCCAAATATTAAAAGTTACAAAATGATCACCTGACTATTAAAAGCTTGAAACATATTAATAGTTGAGTGACCATTTTGTGTACTTTACCTTTTTTTAGTAGTCTGGGTGATTATAACACACACCTTGCAGACGTAGTTACTCGAACCTGAATCCTTTAAGAAGAACAATATTCTCTTTTACTACTAAGACCACTCAATGGATTCGCTCGAAACATATTCAGATATCAGTTTGGGGTATAATCCATAAAATAAGAGGGAAAAATCTTTGAAATTTTTTTAGCATACACATACCGAATCCATACACGTGTAACTCTCGCTTTGAAGTTGAATGTTCATTACTTTGTCACGTGCTACATACTAGTTACTTAATGGTTGTGACGATGTTTGTAAAAGGAATTTGCTTTTCAATTATGATGTAAAGGTATTTCTTGACCATTATGGATGAAACAAACTTTAACTTGTTGAAGTTCGAGTATTTCTATGGCATGGTTTGATGGAACTCACTTGTTGCTGTTTTCATGTATTTTGAACAAACTCAAAATCTGAAGAAACATCACCCTAATACCATCCCATGTATGTATGTACATCAATAATCATCAAGACTGCATCTTGAAGAAGCCATTATTAGAAATCAACATATTTCTTTTTTGCCCTCTTTGTATTTTCTCCTCTATTAGAAATCATCAGAAGTTGTCTTCTAAACCTATAAAGCATCTGATTGTAGGTGGGAAATTATCAGTGATAGGTCACTCAGCTGGAGGGTGGCTAGCTCGTGTTTACATGGAAGAATTTGGATTCTCCCACATCTCCTTGCTTCTGACTCTTGGTACTCCCCACTCGTAGGTCTTTTATTTCGACACTCGGATGTTTTCTCTCGAAACTTTTGTCTGTTCGAATGAATTAGTACCTTGTAGAAGCTCATGTTAGCCCGAAAGTAGGGTGAGTATTGAATACGGATATATCGGACATGTATATCATCGAATAGTTTCTTTTAGTTTTGTTCATACATTTGGAGATCATAACCCTTTAACCATGCTTGAATATGTTTCGTTCATCAATAATTTAGTTTTTGAGTCGAGCTCAGCATTACTCAAGCTCGACTCGGAACGTTTTACCGCCCTAATTCCATCTCTCAGTTCATGGTTTGGTCTATTTTGCAGGCCTCCTCCTAAAGGTTTGCCAGGGGTCATTGATCAAACAAGGGGTCTACTATACTATGTTGAACAGCACTGCAGAAAAGCTGTATACACTCCAGAGCTGAAATATGTATGCATTGCAGGAAGGTAAAATCAAAGTAAAATCCAGTTCTTTTTCTATTCTAGTTCTCTGTTTCTGCATGAGTTATTCTCCACTCCATTCAAAGTATTCAAAGTAATGTCCTATGTTGCTCCGATGAAGTATTCGTGTTCGATACTCATGTTTGAAACATACCAGACATGGGTGTAAGAATATGGCCAAACCACCATTTTTCTTCAAAACTTGGTGAACACAAGAAAACTTTACCAAGAACTAAAATTCAAAATTGTTAATATGAAATATATGGTTTATAGATTTGGTTCCTTCACGTTGTTGATTCACATCATACCATAATGTTTAATATAAAAATGGATAAAGAAGAGGTGAATAAAGCTGAAAATTGCAGTTCTGCATGCAGGTATCTTCAGGGAGCTCGTTTTGTTAATGACTCGAAAATGGCTGTTGATTCCATGGCCACCATTGATGATGACCAACCAGTTTCGGATGTTGCTCTTGTGAAAAATACAACCGTTTCGAACTCTGCTTCCCCAACCTTCCGAGCTCGATTTGTCGGCCAAGGGTACAAACAGGTTAACACCAAAACCAACAATCTTGGCTCATGTTTTCACCCCACATATTCTAATGTTTTGTAGCCACGAAATCAGGTTTGTGGAGAGGCAGATGTATGGGGTGATGGAGTTGTGCCAGAAGTATCAGCTCACTTAGAGGGAGCACTTAACATAAGCTTGGATGGAGTCTACCACTCACCTGTTGGTTCAGACGACGTATCGAGACCATGGTATGGTTCTCCTGCAGTTGTAGAGCAATGGGTTCATCATCTCCTCAACTAATCAAGTCAAAATGAATATATATATATAATATATATATATATATATATATATATATATATATATGGGGATAGATATTCTTACACAATATAAAACTCTTTTAATTTTATATAGATTTAGGATCGCTGGATTAGTGAAAATAGATGGTTGAGATTAACATTAAAAAATAAGAAGATATTCATTAGAAAAAAAAGACAATGAGTCAATCTCGGTCACTCATCCAATGATCTTAAACCGTATAAAACAAAGGAGTTTTATATCGTATAAGTAGATCCTAACCTATATATATATACATACACACATAATCTCTGTCTGTAATATTTGATTTGTTGATCAACTTGTACTCATTGCACTAAAAGGCAGTGAGATGACAAACTAGTAATTGATCAATGATCCGGTTACCATAAACAGTATTGTTAAAATGGGGAAACCAAATTAAATTTTTTACATTTTCACTCCCTAGTCCCTACTGAATTTTTACAGAAGTCCAGCTAGGACCTTTTTTTCTTATTTGCAAGGCTACCCCTGACAGTTTAGCTCTCTAAACAAAAAGCAAAACATGAACATACATGAAACGACTTCAATTCAGAATGACAGGAGCATGGGCAACAATTGGAGCAAATGTATAAAGGGTAATTACATGTTTAATACTTAAACTATCAATTTTAATTTATTATAGTACTTAAATTTTTAAATTTTTCAAAACCATACTTAACGTTTAGTTTTTGTTTCATTTTAGTACTGGCACTGCATTTTTTTATGGATATATTACATCATTCAATACTCAATTATCTTCTCACTCTTATTTTGACACTAAAGTTTAAAAATTTTCAATTTAACTATTAAACTTTCAAATTGTTCTATTTTAACCACTCTAATTTATTTTATTAATAATTTTTGTGACATGACATTTTTTATTATTATTTTATTAATATATAATTAAAAATAAAATTGAACATTAGAGTGATGAATTAGGAGTAATTTGAAAATTAAGTAATTAAATTAAAAAAAATTAAACTTTAGTAATCAAAATAGGAGCGAGAAGATAGCTGAGTGATGAATAATGCAATTTATACATTAAAAAAGTGCCACGTGCAAATCACCTGTTAAGTTTTTAAGGACTAGATACTAACACGAAACAAAAACTAAATATTGGGTATGGTTTTAAAAAAATTAAAAATCTAAATACTAAAACAGGCCAAATTTAATAGTTTAAGTACTAAATATATAATTTACCCATATATAAAATAGAGGCCAGCTAGATTTCACAAAATGGCGGGATAGCATTTTACCAATCTCCAGGAAACCGACCTTTTCGTTTCCATCGAAAATGGTCTGAAGCTTCTCATCACAAAAGATCTCCCTCTTGTTATTGGGATTCTGCAGGCAAAAGTTTCCATATACTTCAGCGCATGTTATCAGGGCATGTCAGTCACTCAAAATATGATATCCAAGCAAAATTTATTGAACACAAAATGGTATGAGATACTCAAGCCCACAAGCAAGCAACTTGGAAATAAAATAAGTAAATTGCTAATTAGGAATTTACTTATTAGTAATTTAGCAATTTTCTTATTATCTATAAGTAAATTATAGATGTGGCAAATGGGTCATTTAGATTAGGTTTGGGTCGGATCATTTCAGGTCGGGTTATTTATGTTCTAGATTATATTCAGTTTAATTTTATTTGGGTCGGTTTAGATATGGTTCGGGTGAATGGTAAATTGGGTCGGGTCAAGTATCAGGTCGGGTCAATTTTCAGGTCGGGTGATTATCGGATCGATTATTTTTCGGTTTAGATCAATATCAAATTAGCTGATTTTTGGGTCGGGTTAATACCAGATCGGTTAGATTTCGTATCGAGTCAATATCGGATCAGGTGATTTTCGATTTGGGTCACACTTTAGATCAGGTTAATTCGGGTTGAATTGATTATGAGTCTAATCGAGTATATATAGAATTATTAATATATTCTTATAAACAAATATGTCTTATTGTTTCTTAATCTTATCATTTAGACAATTAGACTTAATTCTACTTCTCATTCGTTCAATATTTTGAATTAAATCATCATTCAGAGGTTATAAATTGATAATGTAATCCCCTCAGACCGATGCGGGTGGCCCGATCTGATCCGGGGTGTCACATTAGGGCCATCGGAGCGACCCACCGAAGAAAATCTCAGAAAATTTAAATTTTTTATTAAAACATGTAAAATCATAAAATCATTTATAAATAAAAAAGTAAAATTTACAGTATTCAGAAGTAAAACAAATTTTAAACTCATATATAAAACAAATTACAACCTATATGCCCCCTAATCGCATGCACCGTACTCCGCAAGCAACGCCAGTGAAACTCCCTTACTGATGTCAGAAGCTGCACTGGTACGATTTTTTAACCTGAAATGGTGAGTAATAAAGTGAGCTTTGGGAAGCTCAGTAATACATAACTACCTATTGATGCTACAGGACATGCATATAAATTTATAACAATAAAATTTCCTTATTGAATCAAACGTATACAGGTTTTCGGGATAAGCTTGGGTTCCACTGGTAGTTCATCGAGTAAAAGCCAAGAAGATCTCAGTTCATAGGAAACATTCATAGTATCAAGTTTTCAGGAGATCAGATATGATGTCTAGGGTATTCCAACCAAAACCAGTGAAAAGATATAAATATTTTAAAATAGTAATTGTTTATAACATATTTTCAAAACCATAGTGGAACCCCCAACCAAACACCGTTATGCAGTTCCCGAGAACTGCATCCATAAGGGCTTACCCTAAGCACACAGCAGAGGAAGCCAACCTAAGGGAATGCCTTGGGGCCTATAGGCCTACGCAAGGGTATCCGTAGGTCCGTAAGGATTTACCAGCTAGATCAGGGTTGTACCTCCATACTCCAGAATCCTACCCATATAAAAATCCAATAAAAATTAGTTTTAGCCGTAAATCGTAATATCTGGATCGTGATCCAGTAATATGTCATAATCATAATAATAAAATAAATCGTATAACTGATCTCCACATGTACACCATAAGTAGTTCCATGATTAACCCAATGGAGTGCCTTGGGGCTTGAGAGCCTACCCAAGGATCACCTTAGGTTCGTAAGGATTTACCAGCTTGATCAGAGTTGTACCTCCATACTCCAGTCTACCCAGATAATGTCCCAATAAAACAGTTCAATTAATAACCAATGAAACAGGAAACCATAGTTCATAACTCAGTAAATTCCATGATTCCATAAATCAGGAACAATTCATATTTCTCGGTGAAATCCGAAATCGAAGAACACATACCATGTTGACATGGTTTATAAACCAGTAAATCAATAATTTCGTTAAAACTCATTTCAAAACATATAAAACCGTCATGTGGAACACACTAGAGGATCCATATATTCTTAAGAGCTACTTGGTGATCAGGAAGGTATTCATAATCTTTTTATATCAGAGTTACTAATATTTCAAGTATGACATGAGTAATTCAATTACTCAACAATCAGAGATATTCATGCTTTTAAGTCCAATTGAATCAAATGGGGTATTCAGAATCCTTTGCATCTGAGTTACTTGTATGATATATTATGACCGGAGTGATTTGAGCTAATAAGTGAGAAATGAAGGTTCAGGACATTACAATCTGTGTCGATCTATCGGATTATCGAAATAACTCAAGCTGGACAACTCTCAGAACTAATGCATGTCGACCGTCCATTCGTTGCTCTTCCAGGGTATTCACTCTTTAGTACCAACAATTCTTGTTCATAGATCACCTTCTGAATCATCGCTGAATATATCTTAAAGTGATGTACAGATATTCCAATGGTCTTTATCTCATTTCCACATTGCAACAATATTAGGAATTGTCAATGTACTATAATTCGTGGTTCATAACCCATAGGGACAATACATCATGCAAGATCGGTGGTGTTTCCAGACTTATCCAAGTTATTCACTTAATTCAAGGTCATCGGGGTACATAATTCAATTAGTATTTAAAGTTATCATGGTCGCTTAGGAGTTTCCTGAGTAATTTGGTCGTTTCCGCAACTTCGAATACATACAATACTTTCATTCCGTTTAACTTGGTCAATTAATATAGTCATATAGGTATTAGAGGTTGATTTATTCATTTCAGAGCTTGAGGGCATTAATCATTCCAAGTCCTGGAAATACTTTAGGTCACTTTACACTTTAGGGCATTTTGGTCATTTTTCACTTTAGAGCATTTCTATAAATCCAATATAGATATGAAATTTAAATCGATGATTCCAAGGTTCAAGTGAATCAAGATATGAGCTCTCAGGTCGTCCCCATTATCATAGTCATACATATTGCTTTTTACTCTGTAAGTGTATTATCGTAATTTCATTCAATTCCGTCAATGGCATTACATCGGGTAACTTAGGCTTGAAAGTATTCTAGTTCCATTAAAGTTCGGATTATTTTGCTTATTTGCTCATTGGAGGTTAATTTCACCACTAGGGAAAGTATTGGTCATTTTTCAGTACAAGGGCATTTTTGTAATTTTACCCATTAGGGCTATTTTAGGTAATGTATTATCCAAATATTCTCAATATTTAACCTTAAGAGAAATTAATCAAAATTTACGGATTGAAGTCAATTTATTCATTATTAAATCACCAAGCTTATTATTATTATTATTATTATTTCTGATTGATATTCCACTTTCTTAAGCGAGTCATATAAGTCCTATCTGGTTACCAATATTTTATAGTATTCGGATCGAGTTTAGGAAATAATCACTCCATACATGTGACCAATTATACTTATCCATGCAAGAATCAATACTAACATGTTCCATAAAGCATGAAACATGTAATAATGTATTACCTCGGTTTCCATGCCATATCGATCGACCATTTAACTCCATTTGATTACCCTCAAACTATAATTCAACTTCCAATAATCCCTCGGATACAAAGCAACCAATTTTTCTTCAGAAACTGAACTTAATTTAGAAACTATATTGCATCCGAAGGTAAATCTCTAAAAAATGGCTTACCGGGTGTAAATTTGGCAAAACGGACTTCAAATCTGACTCATGACAACGAAAAACATAAAATATGGCTTTTTCGAAAAAGTTAACTTTTTGGTCAAAGTCAACGATCAACGGTCAAAGTTAACGGTCAAAGTCAATGAGTTGATTCAGACCGAGTTGACTCGGACTGAGTTAACTCGGTGACTGGACCAAGCGGGTCGGGCAGGCGGTCGGTTCTACCTGGACTGGTTCTGTAACAACCTGAAAATATGAAAATAATATTTAATAGGAATTTGAGGATTTAATTGAGCAATTTGACGACTAAATTGAAAGTCTGTAAAAATTGTAGCTTGTTTTAAAGTTAAAGAAAATTCAGGGACTAAGC